AAAAGGTATAAAATCACTGGTCCTGTACAGTTCGCGAAAACAGCTTTTTTTCATTTCCCGTCCTAATGGATCAGCACTTCTCAACCTCTTGAGGACGCGGAAACTCAAAAAAATAAATCAACAAAAAAAGAAACCAACTACATACAGTATTTATGGTATATTACCATAACACGGTTCTGCACACTGATACAAGTGAAAGAGCGCCTTTATCGTCGGATGGTCGGTCAAAGGAGACAACAACAGCTATTATATAATAGATCGTGTGTGTGTTTCTTCTAACTCTTGCGGACCCAAGGTTGAGTAACACTGATCGGTTTTTATCAACAGCTAAGGTCACAAAATTTCTTTTGATTTGTTTAAAAAAATGAAAATGATAAAGATCGGAATTTTTATTTTTTTTGTATCGAGTGATTTTTTTTTTGTGGTAAACCCATTGGTTATAAAGTAACAAAAAATGTTGCCTGGTATATTGGTACCCCGTGCTCTAGCCAAAACGTAATATTGATTCCCCCTTCGGAAAGAGTCTCGAACTGGCTCGAACATGCTACTACAACCCAGGGCCCTCAAGTATGCGTCCAGGCCCGGCCCTGCAGATTTCGATCTCAATTCAACATCAAAATAGTCTTTGATTCAATATCATTACAATAATAAGTAGTTAAAAATATACTAGTGATGCTTTAAATTTTCTGTTTAAATTCTTTAGGATTTCGCTTACACGTTTCTATAATAATAAATCAAAATTAGTTTTAACTATACACGGTTTCATTCATGATCATTACCCTTTTTTTACTTTGTTTAGTTTTACTTCATTTCGCTTTATTATGGCTTGATTTGAAGAACGTATACCTACTGCATAACGAATTAGGAGTGTGCTAGGAGCAGCAGAAAATAAGAAAAGAGGGAATGGGAGTTAAAAACATAATAATTGTAGAGGTGACATATTGGCAAAACTACCACAACACTAAGTTCCAAAAGGAGAAAGACCAAGGTGGAGAAGCAAAGAGGAAAAAAGACACTAAGAAGCTGAAGAAAACTGCTAAAATAAAGCAAATCCTAAAATCAATACATAACGGAAGAGTTTATAGAAATGCTCAGGAAAACAAACCGAATAAATTAGCAGAAAAATATCATTGTGCGATGTACAAGAAAGAAGAAATCAAAATGAAGAACAACAAAAAATTGAAAACAAATTGGGGGATGAACGTTTTTATAGCAGAAACAGAACGGAACGTAAAAGGGAAAATATTGTTGGTCTTCCTATTGAAGAAGAATTCGATCAAGTTCCACGAGAACATATATACATAGAAAGCAATTTAAGATGGAGAATCAAGCCCTTAGCTATTACGGATAATAAAGAGCAACAACCACACGGGAGTGGGTGTATTAAGGTTCTATGGATGTAAATCGGTAAAGTTTCCTATGGATAAAAAAAGTGAAAATAAAAGTCTTAACACCACTTTTACTAGTAGACGTGAACATCATGATAAAAAAGTCTCAAAAAGGAACTAGAAGAAGAAGAAGACTAAAATATCACAACCTAAAGCAATTAATGACTCAGGAACAAATAGACGGATAACAAATTAATATAAATGTTTGGAAAGGAAATCTAAAAGAAAACGGGATGGAGATCAACATTAGCCAGTAATGCACGTAATCTACAAAATAATATAATTGTTTGGGAAAGAAATCCAGAAGAACCAACATTAAAATAAAATGTATATTAAAAACCGACATTCAAATAGAAAATATAAAGTCAAAGTATGTATAATTGAAGACTTAGAAATGATAATCAACAAAGGTAAAACAATTGAGAGAGAGGGATAAATAAGCAAATGAAATATGCTGTTGAACGAGTCGGAATTATAGGCAATAACTGAGTGATAAACAAACAGCATCTGAAATAAAGCGGAGGATGTTGAAAATGAAAATTTTTTGAAATGAGGTCAGAAGAACAAAGAAAAAGAAAAAACTCCGTATCACATATAACATCAAAGAACTGGTAGAAAATAAGGAAAAACTATCCAGGAAGTAACAATATTGCCAAGTTCTACGAACAACTACAGAAGACCAATTGAAGACCTAGCGCCGTTGAGCATATATGGGCATATGGAAAACAAGAAAAAGAAGAAGTGTTGTGATATGGTTTACAACATTAGATTCTCCATAAATGATCAGCATACAACCTGTATATCAGGTATATTTTTTGACTTGCTTGACAGTGTTGGAATACGGAAGCTGCTTCTATGACGATCTTAATACATCTTTCTACATCTAAATAATACATCTAAAACAAGAAAAACTTTGAAAATCCGTGACTAGTATATTTTGAAACTTTTTCCTTCTGTATTTAGGCATAATTGCCTGCCTTTCTTCACATCTTTGCTTCTATTTAGTCGTTTGGAAAGTTGTTCTTCCATCTTTTTCTAGGTCTTCCGATGCTCCTTCGTTCTGATCAACGTGGTCATTTCCACTTCTTTCTGTGTACACGCACTATTTTCAATCCTGTAGTCTCTTAGTGTACTATTTTTGTTTTGGATGTCTCGGGTGGGGTTTCTGCTGCATAAGTTAGTAGAGGCCTATACTAACTAAAAATTGCAATGTTGTAGTTCGAATAGAATTATTTCGCTATGTTGTGTTATTCGTGGTGATGAACGGAGGAAGATCTAGTGCTACAGAGGTCTCAGTGAGTGTTCCTCAGGGTTCGGTATTGGGTCCTCTGTTATTTATTATATACATAAATGACAAGCCAAGCATTATGCCACATGGAGACCTTTGTCTCTATGCACACAACACAACCATCGTTTCAACGGTCAAATGAATAACAGATGTTCAAAATACCTTCAGCAAATCCATGCACGCTGCAAAAGAATGGTTTATTGATAGTGGTTTAACGGTAAACGAAGAAAAGACGCAATGCAGTACCTTCAACAATGGACATAGCAATACCGAAAATAAATCCCTACATTTTTTAGGTCTGTATCTAGACGAGGACTTCAAATGATACACCCATATAGATAATACCACCAAGAAGCTAAATGGCGCAATTTACTGTGTACGGAGAATGAGAGCTATCAGTACCATAGAAGCGGCTAAACTCATATATTATGCCAGTTTCCACAGCGTAGGCATTCTAGCGTATGGCATTCTGTTCTGGGGCATGTCTTCAGCAGCAGAGCGAATTTTTCTATTAAAAAAGAGGCCAATTCGAGCACTTCTCAATCTAAAGAGTAGAGATAGTTGTAGAGAACATTTTGCAATACACAAAATTCTCACCATACCGCCTGTGTACATAGTCAGCTGCATTAAAGTAACTAAGAAGAAATGGACCAACCTCACGAAAATTCAGATATCCACAATTATCCGACAAGACTCCGAATATTGGGGCACAAAATTCTACAATCACTTACCACAGTCATCATCACAAGCAACATATTGTGACTGACATATTTTTGGTTTGAATCATTTATTTGCGGTTTGATCCATGTGATGCACAGGTATTTAGATTTCATTTCCTGGTATATGGTTTTATCATCGATCATTATTAGCAAGGTCATCGATTATAACCTTGTATCTGAACGGTGTATCTTGCAGGCCGTCATAGATTTTGTTTTTGCCGCTGATATTATCATGTTACTTTTTTTGCTGTTTTATTGAACTGGTACAGCAATATGTAGAGATCATCCTCGTTCTTTATGTCTGACAGGAGTTGAATATGTAGTCTAAATGTGTTTCTTAAGATCAAAATGACAACATTGAAGTTATGGATGATCTATAAAGCAGAGTTGAATTATGTTCAAATTTGTTGACGCCAAATATACGTAACCAAAAATGATATAAGAATACAACAATAAATAAGTATAACCATGATGACAAAGGGAACTTTATAGTTACTAAGTAGAAGTAATGCAGATCGGTAAGAAAATTCTAAGACTTATACATAACTTGCAAATAAACTACATTGTATGAAATGAAGCGTTTCCTAGACAATTAATTTATTTATATAATGAAAATAAGGAATTAAGATCACGTGACAAACTTGCTCCAAAAGGGATATTTGTGCTAAATGATGTACTTGACCAGTTGGTATCTTAACACAGTAGATGTTTGTTGAGACAGTACATAACAACAAAGTCAGCAAAATAAGCATAAAAATCTACTTTTTTGTGATAAAGAAACAAATTAGTCAATGTACTCCAAGAACATTGATGTCTAATTAGAAAGGAATTAAATCTAGTTCTTCTACAAAGGTTGCTCCACAAGTATTTTATATTTTCGCCAAATATCAAAGTTGTCTGTAATCATTATAATTTGATGACCAGTTTTATTCATGAAATAAGATTAAGATAAGCTATCATTTTTTTAGCATTTTCTGCTACTAATTTCCATCGTTATTAAGATTTTAAATGGATTTACAACAATAACAACAAAATATATTAGTCTACTATAAAATAGTTTATTTTAAGACTTTCTAACCGGTAAAAATGCAAATTTATTTTTTCTAAACAGGTAATTATTCCAAAATGAAACGGTGTTTCAATTAAATTGACACCTACACTTCCTTTGTTTCTAATTAATTTGATGCGATCTTAAGAATGAAATATATAACCGAAACCGGTAGTCTAAAAAATTTAAAACATCAGAAGTACATTTAATATATTATTTTACTCTGAAAAAACTCTGACTAAAAATAAAAGTTTTGTGCAGATGACGTGAATTGAAATCGAAAGAACAGGAGGTGATCTCTCGATGGAGGAGAACATGCACCTCAGCAACAAAACGAGAACGGCACAGAAGCTCAATAAAAATTAAAAAAAAATCTACAAGAACATCCTCAACATCGTCGAGAGGTGTCGACGTATTCTGCATGTTTTCGAACAATTTTTTTTCTCTACACACACGAAAGCGCTCAGCCCGCGTCATGCATCAGCGGTTTTTTTCTGCTCCTGCATTTTTTATTCTTAATTTTATTTTTGCTGGCCAAAACACACAGAACAACTCACCCGTACAGACGGCTATCCCGGAAACTAGCCCTAACATTATACAATAAAATGGTCATTATAATTAATTTAATTTTCATTACGTTGCGGTGATTAAAGTATTAAATTTTAACCTATTTAAGCTAACTTAAATTTAATTCTATTTTAAAAAAGATGATTAGAATTATTTTTTTTTAGCTTAGATTAATTTTTTTACCTGCCGTTTCCGTGTCGAAAGATGGCCAAAATTTCCTCGAAAGTTTTATTCTTGGTCTCGGGCACTTTTTTATACGTGAAGATCCAAAAGGCTGCTAATAATACGCTGAAGGGAAGAAACGTGTAATTTTCTAACGAATTCTGTAACAAATACATCAAGAATTAGTAATAAAAAAGTAAAAGTAAAAGTAAAACACTCCCAAAATGTGGTCACATAAAATTTGTTATTTCGATAATCTTTAAATATTACGAAACTTATACTGTTATTTTATTGCAACAAGAAGTAATTGCTGGTCGATTGTCAATGGAATTCGTTACTATTAAAGCCGATGACGAAATTTGATGAAATTTGTTGAAATCCGTTTAAAACAACAAAACCGACAGTGAGAAACTCACGATGTGGAAGCACGAGAGCGATTCCATCCGAATTTCAGAGACGCCGACAGATTGTAATGCAAACGCGGGTCTTTCGCAGGCGTTTAATTAAATTTTCTTTAACAATAGCAGCGACCGTGAAAACAGAAACCCACTTAATGAGCAACCACCTCATTCCTCTGTCTTTTTAATTCATTTTTTTAAATTTTCTACGCAACGACGTCGTGCGAAAGAATTGTACGAATTTTGAAATATTTCATCAGACTAACGATGACCATTCATATTACAACAAAGAAAATTACCGGTGAAAGAAGAACGCATCGAGAAAGTTTACAAGAGAAAAAAACTAATTCAAATTTGTAGTCCGTTGAAGTGCAGTTTAACGATTTGTATGCGTCGATTGAGATTCGGATAAAACAAAGACTAGAGATTTAGTAGAAGAACGCTATATGAATAAATAACGTTACGGTTCAATTTGTTTTAGAAGAATAGAGAGAAAGAAAATTACGGGATAATCTAGAAAATTACAGCAAATTACATCATGAAATTATATGAAATCTGTGCAATTACAAAACACTCTTTTAAATTAAAGGGATTAAAGAGAATTTATTCTCGTTATTATTTACTCTGTGCAATATTAATTTATACTTCAAGTCTTCATAAACGTCTATCTGTTATCCCGTTTCTGAACTATTCTGTGCTGCGAATGAACGATATTCGCTTAGACAAGGTGGATGATTATTCATTGATGTAGTCTTCTCAAAGCTTGAGGGGTCGTAATCGATTAGGAAAATGGTTGAGGCACAAATACTTTGTTGATCGAGGGACAAATTTTTCGATAACTTTTTTTTATAGAGAATTTCATTCGTGATAAACAATGTAATTGATTATCGAAGGTCATAAATAGCTTCAAGTTTATAGAGACTTGCGATTTTACTAGTTCTGGCGTTCTTGTGTTGAGTGTCTGTCATCGTACACTTTCCTGGGTGGGTTTAAATTCTCAACCTAATTTAATTGGATCATCTCTTCTTGTTTGTGCATTTCACCTCGGTGTTAATTAAAAATGATGAGAAGTACGTTCTGCACCCTACTAATTCAATAATCCTGTAACAATTTTCTATATTGTTGTCGAATTTCAATTAACTCAAAATCGAAATCCTCCCGTAGAATTCTTATTTTTTCCACAATGTCTATCAAAACCTTTGCGCAAATCAACCTCCGCTTGGAGCCGGACAAGTATACTGGAAAAACAAAATTCCTCCATCATTCAAGGCTATGTGTGATGGGTGGCAGAAATGGCAATGAGTTACAGAACAATATTGAGTGATGTTAGGGAGATAATGTTCAGGGATATTAGCCTAGATATTGAGGAATTTTAGCAACCATTTTGAGGGTTGCCAAGAATTATATTGAACATGTCCGGGATGATGTTGAAGGGTGCCATGGACGATATAGAGAAATGTTGAGGATTGTAAGAGACTATGTTAACAGGTGAGAGAAATGATTGGAGGAAATATGTGCGGAACGATTTCGATGGTTCCCAGAGACAATATTAGGTGATGTTTAGAATAATGTAAAGAAGTGACAGGAATATTTGGCAACAATATTGAGAGTTGTCAGAAACAATGTTGAGTGGTACCACAGACGATCTTAAAGAACATCCGCGATGATGACGAATGTAGGTAAAAACAGCGCCGAGGAATGTCCGCGATGATGTTGATGGTTATCTGAGGAGACAGTATTAAGTATTTTCCGAAATGATGCTAAAAGTTTTTTTTTGTTTACTGTTTTCTTTACAGTTTTTTACAACGAGAAGAAATAAAACAAATTGTATGAAATATGACAGATCTGTGGCAGCTGAGAAGCCATCTTGGCGTTATATACTTTCAAATTTGGAAGAAAACATTTTTGAACAGAACATATTGAAGTAATGTTGTAGAAATGTTAGAGCAAATGAATGTGGTTAGAATTGATGCACAAAATGATGTATAGAATACAATTTTAATAAAAAATTTGTAATTTCGGCAACCAAACTTCGTCTCACATCAAAATAATCTACCAGAAAATGAGGACCTTGAACGAAGAGATCTGGTTCCACAAATATTAACTTGATCTGTACAGGACTATAGAATAGAACCTTCCTTGTCGTAAAGCCTGGAAAACAGTTATTCCGAGACTAGCTTTTATGGTTAATTATTAGTTATGGTAATTCTTAATTAGCTAATATATATTCATATATATAGCATAGTTTTTAACATGCGAACATAATCTTTTACTTTCCTTGAGAACTACAAGAGCCAACGACAACCTGAAGTACCCTTCATAGTTTGAGGGACAACTAAATCAAATACATTATATTAGCACTATAAAGATCCGACAAATCTACATTCATCTATTCGCTGGATCTGCAATCACTACGTAGTTCAAATTGGTAAACCTTAAATCTAATAAGCAACTGTTATCGTTGACGATTGAATGGAGGAAAATTATATATATCGGAGTCTGTGTAAATACTTGTAAATAATTTATATAGAAAAATAATTAAAAGAAAAAGTAATGTTTTTATAAATCAGAGCGATTATATATCACATAGCACACCCTACTAGATAGATAACATGAAATAAAGTTTAACTTAACTACATGTTGAAAACAGGCGGTATACGAACTTTTTTATTATATCCCAGGAGGAATCTGTAGGGAATAACAGCGAATAATAATACGCACACCGTTATTAACGGTAATATTATTTTTAAACGCGTAATATAGGGTCCTACTTCATCGACAAAAAAGTGAATAATAGGGAAGGATGGAGCCCATTTGGTTTATTATTCCTGATAGATAGTCGCACATTCAGAATTAAAATAACAGAAAAACCTGTAGTAGTCGTTGGGTATCGCTACTCTTAGACCCAACAAAGGTTATGTGTATTAGTTGTATACTAACATAGGAATGTCAGTATTATTATGTTTTTAATTTATCTAACTCCAGAAATATTTGGGACCAATAAATGTAGAATATTTGGTATTTACGGGATAAACGATGTAATCTGGCTCATCATTTATCCGTCATTTATCCAAATGCTCTATTAAGCATTTGGATAAATGACCCAATTATTTTGATCTGTTCCACTTGCTTTAAAAATTCTCCTTCAGCTTTAATCCACATTGAATGTTTCCAGTAAACTATGGAAAAAAATTTGATGATAATAAGTAATAACTAGTAGTACCTAGTAAAATCTCTCAACAACGCCTCAGACAAATTATCACAATCAATGCAATGATACAGCCGATTAAATGGAGATAATTGTGCAAGATTAATGAAAGTTTTCCAATCTCTAGAGATGTGGACATAATTATGGTAAAAGCATAAACTCTGGGACACATCGTATTTGATTTTCATTAGGCTGAGATATATTTTCAAGGTATTCTACAACGCTTTCAGATGGATGAGAAGTACAGTATCAGATCCTTGACATTCCTTACATTTTAGAGAGAGATCTGCATGCTTGTGTTTCTATACTAGTCAATTGTGAATTTCACGGGGAACATTTAATAAAGAATTTCTGCACTCCTTTCTCAATATGAGCTGTCTCGTATGGTTATTTGTGAATGTAGGGTTCTACATTTATCGAACCATTTTTTGCTTTTTGCCGTCACCATTTACTAGGACATGGTTGGTCGAGATATTTTGTGGATGTAGTACTTACGAATTTTCGAAAAATCCCAGTCAAGTTATGCGTTCCATATCATAATTATGAGTTCATATTCGTATTAACTAATTGAGAAATTGTACCTTGCTAAGTGGTACCCATCTTGCTCTGTTTATGCTTTTTTTGGTACAGCAAACCTGGTTTTGGATACTGTTGTTTTCTTGGCAATAATAACACTTCAGCTGTACTTCCATTATCTTCCTATGACGAAAGAATGCAGAATATGAGAGCGATCTTTTCTTTATACAAGTTAACAAAGAATACATTATTGGAAAGAAAATATCAATTACATTACACGATGATCATTCGATATATCGATATAGAGAAAAACTTGTTGTCAGTTTATCTTGCGTTGTACAACAGCAAACTTGCAAAGATATTAAATCGTTCTTTATATATATATAACATGTATTCGATATATCATTCATTCGATATATCGATATAGAGAAAAACTTGTTGTCAGTTTATCTTGCGTTGTACAACAGCAAACTTGCAAAGATATTACATCGTTCTTTATATATATATATATAACATGTATAGTTATTGTCCATATCAATATAAGCACCACAATCCTCGTCCAAATCTTTACTCATAAATTACCTGGCCTCAAACATCCTCCTAACGCACCTCGTTTTAATCCATCTTCGTTAAGCCATTTTATATGGACAAAATTTTTTTCCAGAAATTTTTCAGAGATCATTTTTATCGTTTCATGTCATGATGTTAAATTTGATTTCATTATTTACTCTGTATACCTTACTTTATACTTCACGAAGTGGTATTTACTTTGAACCTCAGAAAATTTACATAAACTTATATAAAAATTGATAAGAAAGTTTAAAACTCTATGAGAAAATCGTGATAAAATATCTACTTATGAAATTTTATGAAATTCCACAGAAAACGCATCACATTTCAATAAAGCCACAAAAATATTGCGAAAAAATGAAACAATTTTTATTTAAAAATTTATAACCAAGACAATACTGGGAAATTTTTAACCAAAATTTGAAAGGTTGTAGATAAAAAACGCCTTTAGATATCATTAAGAAAAGAATATTAAACAATGGTATATATTCATAAATTTTACGTTATTATATATGTTAATATCAACGTAAAAGTTATATACCTACTTACAGTAAGACATTGATGACCATTAAACTTGTCATAGGGATCAACTACCGTGACAAAAAAAGCTAGTTACGTAAAAAGAGGAGATTTCTAGTTCGTTAATGACGAAATCCAGGAAAAAAGAAATTTGTTTTAAAATCCAATTGTTCTATAAAAAAAAGGAAAAGAAAAAGAAACAATTAAAATTTCTTCACATCTTCCTTTTTGTTCTTTACGATTCCGCTTTGGGTTTCTTTTAATAGCTTATACTGCCCTACAATCTACCACAGTTTCAAGTCGATAAAAGAAATCCGAACATTCTGTCACCTGTTTCGACCAAATGTTGTAGCATATGCACAGCGACCATGAGAGGTCACTTTCCCTTCGATTTAACCCACTCGAGAAAAGATAACAAAGTGCACCATAAATCCACCTTCTGGGTTCAGAATCAGAATTTATTTCATATCTTCTCAATATAAATAATGTTGATGGATTAACAATGATTTTTTTTTGATTTTTTTTTATTTACATTGAATTTAAACTATTTGGATACACAAACTGTATGCAAAACATGGTTGGGAAAGTTCTAGTACTTAGATCAAGTTGAGCTATGACCAAACGAAGGGAAAGCAGACATCCAATAGCGCACTACTGGAACCGCGTGCTTTTTCAGACATCAACAACGATGGATGCAAAGTAGAACAGTTTCTGCGTTAAGGTGGGAATAAAGGATGTGGGGATAATCCTTTCACAGCAACCCGTCTATATAAGACTTTCAGATGTACAAGACCGAAACACTTACTGTCAAGTCTTTTTCGGGGTTTTCTTTGTTTTTGGGTTTCGGTGCGCGTTGATTGAAATGCAATTTTACACGGTACGTTTAAAATAGTTTTTTTTAAACCCTAAATTAGCTACAATTCTTATTGTTAAAGGTATACACCTTTGCAATCTTTGCAACAATCTTTCAAATTGTTCATGGAGGCATTTATGGTCATTACGATGTAGAAGGCTACGGAAACCCTGCTTATGGTCTTGGACATTATGGAGATGAATCGTCTTCAGCTAATGAAATTCACGCGGAAGCACCACAAGAAGATCATAGTCACGATGAAATCGTTGATTATCATGTAAGTAATTTTAACTTGGATATAGGTGAAAAAGGAAGTGTGTAATTGAGTGTGTACGATTGTTTCTGGGATTTGAAACAATCGTTTAGAAAAAAAGAACAATAGAATTGGATTAAATAGGAAGCTTTCTATGATTTATTAGATAATAGGGATAAAATAAAAAATTTACACAAGTTTATACTGTTAAGAGATGAGGTCTTGGGAGAATAATTGTTTGATGTAGAAAGTTATTATAAAATTCGTTGGAATCTTTCAATGTTTTTACGCGAGATTAATATGTTATAAATTTTTGAAAATAGTGCGAAAAAAAACTACTATTAAAACAAAATGAAGGAATGAATTTTTTTCAATGAGCTTTTACTTTTAAGTTATGCAAGTTATTTTAGTTAACTACAAGAAATATCAACGCAAGCAAAAAGTGATCGCAAGCAGTGTTGATAATGATATGTATTTCATGTCAGTAGCATGTATGTTATACAAAAACATACAAAAGATAAAGCCGGTTATTATGTATTTTACAGAGAAGGTTTAATTAGAAGGAATAGAAGGTTGTCAATTTAAATATCGTTAAAAAATAATATCTTATGAAATAAAACGGAAGTTACTGTAAGTAATAAAAATAAAATTCTGAGCAAGCTGCTTAAGTGTATTGATGAATTAGCTTTAAAACTACTGCTGATCAAGAGTTATAGTGAGCTACAATCAAAATATATTTAATCCTTATAATCAAATAAGCTGCATGCTTTATTTGCAATAACATTAGTTAATATTGCTTATGGAAATCGTTTTAAATGTCGCTAGATACCTGTTCAGTATTGCAATACTTTGCTTCAGCAAGGGCACAAGTTGGATAAGTGTTACTAGTAGATTCAACTCAAATTTTGAGAAATATTATTTTTTGAAAACATAAAATATCGTTGTACGTAATACAAGTTACACGAATTTTGTCTAAGGATGGTGATTTTTGTCGTAAATACAAAATTATACTATATATACTATATACTATATATATATATACTATATACTATATACTATATACTATATATACTAAACATTAATTAGATATTAACTCATTAGTACAACAAACTGAAAGCTTTTTCTTGACGTCTCAACCGTTTGTAATGTTGTTTAGGACTTAAAACCAATTTTTGTATGCTTTGTGGAAGATTCAAAGCTTGCTAGTAGTTCTCAATTTATCTATCCAGCATCTTATAATACAATAAATCAGGAATATATGTTGCAGTGTTCCTTGTGATCTGGCTCGTATTGTCGAGGATTTGGAAGACGTCACTGTTCATGACTCTTGAAGAATTTACTAATAGCCTAACCAACGGTGTCTATTTCCATTTTTACAATACTAAGGGATATCGACAATGCTCCAGAACACTTTGCTTTGATATCGTTGGATACTTCTAAATTGCTCTTACTAGCACAACCCCGCAACTGGATTCTAAATCTCCATACAGGCTTGAGAATTTGTTTATATAAATATAATTTGTTATGTATTGACAAGGTGGAGCTTCGTCTAAGCTTTTAGGACAGTTGGAAACGTATCCTGCAAGAAACCAGGAGAAACACAAACCGTTAGAACAGCAAACATCGACGCAATCCAACCTTCAATTTGGCAATCTCCTAAGCGCTTTGCTTCAAAACATGTGCCTGCCCTCGGGTTGTCAGATCGTTCAACTCGTCAAAAACTTCATGATTATCTACACTTTCATCCATATAAAATGATAGTCGCACGGCATGCGAACCGTCCCTTGAGAATTTGCTTGTAGATGCAGTTGTGTGGTTTTGTGATGAAGCTCATTTCAACATCTCAGATTGTACAAAATACAAAATATGAGGTTTTGTGGCCACATTTGGCATTTTTTCTGCCAACTCTTGAAAATTTTGCTGTTGGCAAAGTATGGTTATAGCAACATAGGGCGATAGAGATTTTCTCTTTAAAACAGTTTGAAATCAAATATCTCATGTTAGTTTTTTAATTTTTTACCTTTGAAAAAAGAAAGTTTTTTCTGAAGGCTCGATCTGAGATATAAGACTTCAGCAATTGTGAAGACTGGCTTGCTTAATTTGTAATGAAGTTCCTCGTGTCGCAATCTATCAAACACCTGAGGTACATCTAGGAATACAGTGGAACAAACTTTCTTTTCTCCCAGGAACTTTTCAATTGTATCTGTGAATCTGATGAATAGTTGACTCTCTCTCTGAAGCCAATTAGATGGTTTAGGATTTAATCTTTTAAAAAGTATTTCATACAGTTTTGAAATTAAAAGGAGCAAAGAGATTGCCCATTACGATGAAACTATATTTAGTGATTTTCCGGGATTAAGAATCATTATCATTTCTGCTAGTTTCCAAGAGCGTTTTCCCAAGAGCTTTTTTCTAGGTAAGATTTTCCCAGTCAAAAATATCTTCACCCTGATTCAGCTAAAAAATTTTTCGTATTTGTTGCCTCTGCCAGTTGTTTTTATTTTTTGAATTTCTGTCTTGAGTTGTTGTGTGACATTGAGTATAATTTTATTGGCTGGTTATCTAGNGGCTCGATCTGAGATATAAGACTTCAGCAATTGTGAAGACTGGCTTGATTAATTTGTAATGAAGTTCCTCGTGTCGCAATCTATCAAACACCTGAGGTACATCCAGGAATACAGTGGAATAAACTTTCTTTTCTCCCAGGAACTTTTCAATTGTATCTGTAAATCTGATGAATTGTTGACTCTCTCTGAAGCCAATTAGATGGTTTAGGATTTAATCTTTTAAGAAGTATTATTTCATACTGTTTTGAAATAAAAGGAGCAACGAGATTGCCCTTTACGATGAAACTATATTTAGTGATTTTCCGGTATTAACAATCATTATCATTTCTGCTACTTTTCATGGTGTGGGTACATATTTTAATCTAAAAGAGATTTTCCCAGTCAAAAATATCTTCACCCTGATTCAGCTAAAAAATTTTTCGTATTTGTTGCCTCTGCCAGTTGTTTTTATTTTTTGAATTTCTGTCTTGAGTTGTTGTGTGACATTGAGTATAATTTTATTGGCTGGTTATCTAGATTGATCCAGATTCATCTCTGCCTTCTTTTATCAGAAATAAGGACTCCAATTTATTTGGAGTACTTATTACTTGTTACTATTAATAAAATAATCCATTTAGTTCCCATGCTGATTGTTGGATAGCTATAATAAATGATTCCACTTCATTATCTAGCTGTTCTTTATTTCTTAGAGGCACTGACAAATTTATATTTTTCAATCTGTCAGTTTATTTACCAATCTAGACGATAATTCTTTTTGTATAATTGTGTCGCTGAGGGTGAGTAAGATGGGTGAATGGTCTGGTTTCATATTTCAAGTTTCTTCTATAGCTTATATAGTTAGACGATACATTTCCAGATATGAAGAACTCAATTAAATCTACTAATTTTTACATCTATAAGCCAATACCTTGACTTTCCAGATGATATTGTGTTGTAAACACATGTCGTTGATTTACATCAAATGTTATGCTGGACTTTTAAACAATATATTCCAAGCAAACTACATAAGTATGACATCAATATTTTTATTTTAACAGCCTTCTATACTTGTGATCTAATAAAAGGATGTGATAGAAATATTACTACAAACAATAGAGTTACAAGTGCAAGATATTTTGTAAAAATACGAAAGAGTTACCAAAAGAATTTAGTTATACAGCAGAAATTTTACTTTTGTAATCAACCAAACATATTACCTAGTTGTTTTTTTCGCAAGGCAATTCTAAACTCACGGTCTGCCATGTGAAATTCTGTTCAAATTATGATCTTGTAAGTCATTGGCAGAACTCACTTAGTTCATCTGTCAACCATACACGCCTTAGGCCAGTATTACACTGTCATAGTTCTATGTCATAGATCTATCGTCATATATCTAATCTTTAATGATAGATCTATGACATAGAACTATGATAGTGTAATACCTGCCTTAGAAAATGTGGCTTATATTCCATATAAAGCTGTATTATTTTTATGATGAAATAATGAATTTGTTTTATTAATACCAGGTTTACAACCCCTATTAAATATATATGTCTTGCGATTACTTTAGAGAAATTTATCGACGACATACCATAAAAGCAAACAAACAAGAATTCAAAACTAAGTAATAGTAGTACATTAGCAACCATATCGATTCCCACACATAATTCGGTCAAGTTCACCGATACGCATACCAACTTCTTCTTTATGAGAATAACAGTTCCGCTATAAATAACACTAGTACGCCAAGGAAAAGGTAACGGTATAACTGCCTATATTTAGATTGCTGATTTTGTCATAATTCGTCCAGTGTGAATAACCTACCATTTCATTCTACACATTTTATACATTGAGATTGATATGGGACGAAAAAGAAATTATTTAGCTCTATACATCGAAATTAAAGAGTAATATTTTCTTTAACTATTAGCTTTTTCGACCGACACTAATCGTTTCAGTCATCAACTTTTTCTCTAACGTCTATATTAATTATGTATCATTTTTTCCTCTAACGTCTATATCAATTAACTATCATTATTTCAAATAAATTACTTTTACATATCGCGTTAGAAAAAGTAAATTAAGAGGAATACAAAGCACTTTATTATGTGGTTTTAGTTATTGTGCATTAAATAATAAGATTATTTTTTTAAACTTTTTAACTGAAAGATAAAAGAACATTTTGATAAACACAAAACCGCGAAAATGAGATTTGCAACTGTTTTGCAGTGCATGGTAAGTTATACAGCTTTACAAAGCCGTATCTTGCAATTAACAGACTCGTAGTATATCTTTTTTTATATTTTTTCCTGGTTATGCAGCAAACGTCATAAACGAAATTAACCTATTATTTGTGTTGTTGAATATTGCTAACAACGGCAATATTCAAACTATTGCACGTAAAATGTCCATTATGCGAATTCCTAAAAATCAAAGACCCAACCAACCCCCGTTTATGTTAGACGTGATGTAAATTTTATGCAAATTTCATAGTTTTAAAAACCCTATATAAAACTTGGAAGGATATTAGGGTCGATGTTCAAATAGATTTTTTTATTTATCGAAAACTGAATTTAATACAAACGTTATTTAACTAATCACATTTTAGTATTATGGAAAACTAATTCGTGCTATTTTTGTTAAATACCTTTCTGCTATTTAGTAGATTCTTTACAAATTCAACAAGTTGAAAGTTATATTTCTAAGAACACCAACCGTCAAAGTTCTCTAACTTACTGCTAATTTTAGATTCACAAATGTGTACTCAACATTTCCTGGTTTAATTGATCTTTTCGTTGTCTGTTAACTCGTGTGCATCGCACACATACTCAGGGGCGGGGATCGTTGAGTGAAAAGTGGGTCAAATTTACATACTTACTGTTCAAGGAAAACGCACATGGATATATTTTTATCAGGCAATTTATTCAGTAAAAATATAGTATTTCGAATATAAACACTTTGGGATAAGTGAATTTATTCTAGGAAATGTGTATGTTTACCTTCCTTTGAGGTAAAGAGTTCAATGCATATTTATTTAAAAAAGTTAAACAAGAATGCAGTCAACACGTATTAACCACAACACGTTTGAAGTTATGGTTTTATATGTTAGTAGTATGAAATAAATTATTTTACTCATTAATATTTTATGAGATTAGAAATCTAAGAAGATAACTAATTATGGAAACAGGAGATTTTATGGAAAAAATAAATTTAACAAAGTAGATGTAAGACTTTTAAAGGATTAAGGTTTTAAGGCTTTTTATGTCCCAAAATGAGGGAATTCAACATATACCTTTCGCAGAACGCAGATATTTTTGAACTACCGCATCGATCTCTAAAAGGGCGGACGGAGCTCGTTCGTTAGGAAATTGCTGGAATGCCACCACATATAGAAAATAGATTTTAAGAGGAAGCAACTTCAAATGTCTATCTCCTGTCAATGCTAACATAACTTTAATATTGCCCAACACGAATTTGCAATTACTAATATAAGATGCAAAAATAAATAATATATATGTGCAAACTAAACTAAAAGTAATAAGCACTACAGGTGGACTTCAACCAACCGAAAATTGCCACACACAATGAAAACTGAGAATAAACAGTATCATAATCATAAAATATTTTCGAGTGCCGTACAATTAACATAAACACAGTGAATGTCATCTATTATTGGCAAGACAACGCATAAAGATAACGGCGCACTATGCCTGACAGAAAGAATTCGAACGTCTCATTAACAGCTCCAACATTAGAACACCTCAAATCTGCTATGAATTTGATCCAGCAACAAAATCAAAGTCTAAGACAACATCTGATGCAGGATTATTGTCTAGACGTGTCACGGAAAAACTTCAACCATCTTTGGAAAATTTAAATTCCTTAACACCTGAAATATCCAGTACTATTTAGGAAATACCATAAGCACTTATTAAGTAGTGTACAGTTTCTGTTAGCCACAACGATTCAGAGTGTTCAATACCACTATTAATCTATTTTCCATCATTTTGATCAATTACAAACAACGTAGCGCCAATAGTTTGCTGATTTATTATTAGATTACGGTTAGGTATCACTAGTTTTCAAACAATGCGAAACACACACAAACTTCCTTTACAACAGAAGCAATGATAATGCTGTCATTGCTCCTTTTTGTAAGAGAGATTTACTAGACGTATCAAATTTGCCGAAAATTTTTTTGTACAGCAAAAAGGATTTAGTTCAATCCCACACACCAAATTAGAAAATCCGTTATAATCATATCTTGTCATTTCTTTTCCTCTACAGTTGTTGACCACCCTTTTGGCCATTGCTTCCATGATTACTTCCATCAATTTATCTATTTACTATTCTTATGTCGTATCAGATCCCTCCCTCTCCTGTTCGCCTTTATTTTCATTCGACTACTATTTTATTTAGGTTATCTAATTCCACTAATTTTCTCATTCCAAACTTAATACATGCTTCCATGTTTTCTGATCTACTATGACATAGTCAATAACTGATCTCTAAGGCCTCAAGATGGGAATATTCTCTTAATTTTGCCATTCTAACAATTTCTCTTGCTCCAATTTTTAATTACCTTCCTCATATCAATTTCCAATTTCAATTTGTTATGACATCTCTTGCACTACCGTCGTACTCCCTCTATCCGGTTACAATCAATTTTCTTTGTTTCATTCTTTCCCTTTTTCTCCTTTCCATCCCATATTTCCAATAAGCTTCACTTCTAACGATTTGTAAATCTGATACCATTGATGTTCAAATCTAATATTCCATAATAATAATAATAACTTTATTGTGTTTCTAAGAATGAACAATTCTCTTGCACTCGTCAGTCATTACAAAAAATAAAAGGAAGAAAAGAAAAACCTCTTTTACCTCTTTCCTACACTTATCCGTACCTTAACATTGACAATTAAATAACACATTCTACATTTAAAAAGTCCTGAACACTCTAGAATGCATTGCAAATCAAAAAAGGCTTAAGGCGTTTGATTGGCCATAGATAGAATATCATTCCTATCCCAATGTAGTTATATACTTCCTCCATTTTGATTCCAGTGAACACCCAAAGTGACTACTCTTTTTGAAAATCTTCCATCGCGATTCCTTTTCTACTCTTCTCTTCCACTGTTCTTCTGTCCAAGTCATCTCTCAATTACCATATGCCCTTCACGTATCTTTTGTATTATTTCCTTTATTTTTCCTTTTATTTAATTTAGCCTGTGATTACACAATACAAGACACTTAGGTACTATTATGCAACACACTTACTGCATTGGTTTCATTTTTCTGTATATAATCAATCCAGTTTTAGTTTCTTGACATCTCCTTTTTGTATTATTTTTTCCAGTATTTTCAACTTTCTTCTCTTGGTTGTTTACAGTTTACATATACATACTACTTTTCGATACGTGGTAGTTCGAGAGGTACAACGCAAAAGATATTTCATTATTTAACTATGGTTATTGTACATGTTTTTGACTTTTGACAAACATCAGATCTCCCAGGACTTTGCCTATACATAAATACCCATATATAATGTCTTTGTTTGCAAAATAAATTGAAAATGTCGTTGGGTTGGAATTTTACTTTTCATCAATGTAGCCATGCATTTCCATAACTGGTTGTTTCCAGCAAGTTGAACCCACTCTAAATTGAATCCTTTAATGACTGCGTAATTAGGATCAAAGTTATGTTGATTTCCTTCTTAATTCTGTTTTTACATTCAGCAAAACATTTAAATAAGGCTAGCTTATAGGCTACAGGCTTAGCTTTGTGCATTACGAACATTACTGTTAAAAAAGCGAAAAAGAAGAATCATAGTGTACAAAATGTTAAAGCTTCTTAGTCTGAACAATAGTTTATCTATATTTTTTAGAGCATTTTTTCACTAATCTCGAAAATTTGAGCTAATAAAAAAGAAATAAAGATTTGTAATTAGCATCAAATATAAACACTTTTTCATTCTCGTATCCAGGAATTAACCGTTATTAAATATATGTCATTTTAATGTAATTCAATTAACCTCTTTTATGATCAAAACCACAATTGTACAAGTTTTCGTACTAAAACTCTTTTTGTGTTTCATTTTATTTCGTTTAGCTTCCACCAATCTTTCCCCATTTTTCTATTTCTTTTTCCGGGTACACTTCACCGACCAGAATAATATTACAAAAACCCCTCCGACCTCACAGTAAACGTTTTCCTAACGGAGGCGTATCGATAAATTTCCAACGCGAGATTCTAAATAAAGTGAAGAGAGCTTCGGATATTCTCCAAAACGTCACCGTTTTCTCCGCAGTAAAACGATCACAAACCCGACGAACCGTGAACCACGGTAACGTCTTCTCGGTCTTTTCCAACTTTTCCGAACCCCTTCTTTTCCCCCTTTTTGTCTTCTCAATGTCGTCGTCTAACATTGCGACGTGCGATAAATGAACCGTAACAACAATCGTCTTTTCTGTTCTAATATTATAAATATAACAAGAAAAGGACCACTAATTGTTTAAGTTTGCACAATTTTATACACGAAGTGATGAAAGATATATTTATTGTACTATAAGTACTATAACTAATAAAGTACTAATCACGTGTGGTATTTAATATAAATTTTGTCGAAAAATTTTGATCCGTATCAAAATCGTTTGGGAAAACGTGTAACAGAAAATTTAAATAAAACTTACACAACGAGTCATTAACTTTTGCTGCCCTTTTACCTGTAGTTGCTAACTCTGCGTGTTAAGAAGTAATAGATTTCGAGATTGTACGAAAATCATGGAGGTAAGTTGGGAAATCAACTCAGGAGGGTTGATTAGACCCAATCGCGGTAATCACTTTTTGGAACAAAGCTTGAACACACAATGTAAAAAGATTGAGTTAATTTTATTTTCGTTTCCCCTAAAAAGTTTATTTAACAGTCGTTAAAAATAAAAAGAAAAAAATTAAGACAACTAATTTTAAAACGTTAAAATTTCATTAAGTTTCTGCACGTATACGTCACCGGAAACGGTCGTTTCCCACTCACGGAACTCGTCCGGGTCGAAATTGCGTAGTACCTCGAACGCAAATAGCTAAAGCAACTGGAGCAAACCACAACACATACATTCACACACACGTAATTCATTACGTATCCTCTGGTATTAAATTGTCACGCGCTCGAGCGGATTACGTGTTTCTACCTGTTTCCTACGAAACAAATATGCGCGTACGAAACATAACCGGGGAGGAAGGGTTGGGAGGTAAAGAACGACCTTACATTGTTGATTACACAACGAGATTCCCTGCTGACATTGTTATTAACTCGACAATTTTTTTTTCTATTTTTTTACAGGCCCATCCGCAATACCACTACGACTACGCGGTTCACGATCTCCACACCCATGATATAAAAAGCCAGTGGGAGACGAGGGATGGTGATAAAGTGAAGGGCGAGTATACGCTGCTGGAAGCTGACGGATCTAAAAGAGTTGTACAATACACCGCCGATAATCACAATGGGTTTAATGCGGTTGTTAAAACCGTTAAAGGTGGATACTAAAAAATTTTACTGTAATTTAGTATAAAAATAATCCATTGTATTTGTTTAATTATTTATTTTTTACTTTTCTGTTTTATTTAAGAATTTTTATGAAAAGTTGTGTACAGAATTAAAAAAAATAGTTCTTGATACTCCAGCAGTGTGTTCAAATCACATTCACCTTTTTCCAACTTTATCTTATTGTATAATTTTTATATTAATATTGTAATAAAAGAAGTTGTTGTATTTATGAAATTATTTTATTTGTTTGAATAAGGTTTTCAAGTGCATGAGTATTATCGTTTGGATGCAGAGTGTGAGCTCATTCCTTATAATCGATATAATTTAGTGTTCAAAATTTTTATGTTGCAACTTTGCTCTACTTTGCTTACAAGTAATTTGCTAAACTTCGATAATAATGACATAGGTCTATAGTTAATAACTTTGCTACGATAGCCAGACTTAAATATTGGAAGAACATGTGGCTACTTCCAGACACGGGGAAAACTCCAGACTGAAGTGATTTATTATAGAGCAGCATTAGCGGAAGTGATAATGAGATAGAACAGTTCTTAATAATTGCGGGTATTCCATCTGCCCCAGGCCCCTTCTTAGCGTAAACGCCACTCAACCTCTGGCTGTTCAAAATACACCGGTAGAAGAACCATTAGAAAATGACAGAGCAGCAGCTCCAGGCTGTACTAGTATTGAAAACTAAGTTGAAGTAACTTGCAAACAGTGAACATACACCATGAGCACTGGAGGCAGCCGTGCTGTTATCTGAAAGAGAGGCTGGAACATCGCAACCACGTTTCCTCTGCTTAACAAATGACCAAGAACACCTAGGGTTGGAAGAAATAGGAAATTCAGAACGCTGAACATAACGCTTGTAATCGCGATCGATTAGAAACTTTGTCTGACCCCTCAGCATGGAAAAGGTAAGGTAATCAACATGATGACGATAACATTTCCATCTCCTATGCGCCCTCCTCTTCTCATTGATTATTTTTATGGTAGATGATGAAAACCACAAAGGGTATTCTCTTTCATACTTAGGTACAAATTGTTCAATGTCGTTATGTAAGTGTAAAACTCTACGTCATTATTGCACAGCTCCTATTGATGTTTTTTGCTTTGGTAAACATTAATAAACTCATTAATGAATTGCTAACTGCTTATCATCAGCAAAAAAGTAGAGACTTATATGTTGTGATCAACCTCTTAATAAATATAGAAGTCCTACACTAAGTTGACATCGCAGTACATCCAAGATGTACTGCGATGTCAACTAAGACATAACCGATCGAGCTCAAAGAGGTTTGGTAATTCCATGACAGATCTTCCTAAGGTTGATATCACCGAAGATTTCAACTCAAAATCTACCTAGATGGATTACAAAACAGGTTTGGAGTGACTCTAATTGGAAAGGTTTTGATAAATTAGGACCAGATATTAGCCATATCACTTTGCATGATCATAAAATTTAAAACCTGATAATGTTGTTTTCATAAAATATTTTTTCTACAGCACTTAAGAAGAAAATTAACCGATATTTAAAAAATTGTTCACTCATCTAGCAGTGCTTGGAGCCGTGCTACTGCTTTAGAGCATAAAAATATAATACCAATGTTACTAAGAAAAACACGTACCTTACAAGGAGAGGCCTCCTCTTTGTTAGGTTTAGACGAAAAGAGTGTTCTAGGGAAATCACTGCACTTACTTGTTTGGCATGCGTTCGTTATCAATTTTGTAAAGTTCTTATTGACACTCAATATTTGTATATTTGGATGACACTATTGTTGTTACCAAACAGCCAAACTTAATAAATACTTAGATATCAGAGTTATATAGTGAAGACACTGGGCTTGCGTGTGACCTTGAGAAAGTGGTTGGTCTTCTAAATATGCCAATATCACAGATAGTTTCTTATATTAAGAGTATAATTAGAACGGACGCTATTTAGTCCTGGGCAGCTTTATAATTCCAAGATATTTGGCTTATCTGTGTCTAAACAAAAAACAAAGTAAAGAAGCTAAAAATATCTAGATTTATGTGCGGTCACCGCATCGTCTTCTTGATTGGGCCATTTGATTGCACTTGATACGTCAAAGTGCTTATCTTTAGTCCATGATTTTACCAGAGTCAAAAACGAAAGCTGTTATTGGAGTTTCATTACAAAGATTGGTCATGCCTTCGCGACAGATTTAACATGTTCAAGAAGATCTTACGGAAACTATGTAAGCAACTGTGGTCTGTTCGATTCAGTCAGTTGACTTATAATTTAAGCTTGGTGATGTTAAATACAGCGATTCATGATTCACCTACAATGAAGCAATTTTTGAACAATAATAAACGCAATAGTGTAAAGAGGCCACAATGTGTATTGTGCATGAAAGTTTTGGTAACGGAGTATATGCTTTTAAGTAAACCGAAGCGACATTTAGAAACTAATCATCACAGCATGATTAGCAAACCTAGTGATTTTTTACCGCGAAGTTAAAGTGACACAACAACAAACAACTGACAAACTGACACAACAAAAAATACATTTTTATTAATATCAAACAACGCTTTACTAGCATTTTGCAAGGTGGCTTACAAAATTCGGAAATGTAAAAAAGACCTATACCATCGCAAAAGGTATTCTATTAGTTGCTAGATATAATAAATATCATGGTTGATGAGTTTGTTGATAGAACCGGAAACTAGCTTTGTCGAATAACACAATTAGTCGGAGTATACAACATATGCTCCAGCATATCGCCGAACAATTATTGAAAAATTAAAGGATTCAAATTTGGATTGTAGCTAGATGAAGCTAAGGATAATAATAAGAATATTGATATATTATGTACGGTTTATTGACCGTAACAATATCAAAAAATATCTTCTGATTGGTAAAAATATCGCTACAGGAAAGAAGCACCAGGACTTGTTCGCAATTTTTGATCCATTCATATCTGAAAATAATTTATTTTGTCCTATATGCGTTGGTGTGTGTATAGATGGAGTTCACTCCATGTTCAGCTAGCTATGGAGCTGGATGCCATTGAAGATTGCAGGCGCTTATTAGAAAGAAACCACTATAGACCCATTACATTATTCATAAAGAAGGATTTTGCGTAAAACTACGGTAAATTGGTAATTTTTTTAAATCTCGTACATATCGTAACAGAAACTAATCCGTACGCCACAAAAGGATTTTTTTTTAACTAAGACGAAATGTATTTTTTTTAAGTTGTAGCAGTATCACCTGGTTTATTGCAATGACTTTTTGAGTAATGTTGCCTTTTAAATTTCATAGTGAGATCTATTTTCGAAAAGCTAGCTTTCAAGTATCCCCATAAGAAGAAATCAGGACTGGTTAAATACGGTAACCTTGGAGATTAATTAAAATTGTCATGTCGGGATATAAGTTGTTGAGTAAACATGTTCGTTGAACTACAAGTCGTCATTTTCCACGCCTAGTCATTGCAATTAAGTTGTTAGTGACGTTTCTTCGAAAAAGTGCGAACCTAGTTTTCCGCATGCAGCACACCGCACCAAAAAAAAACGTGAATTTGTTTCGGTTGGTCGGCAGTGTCTCATTACACATTTACAGTATTCGTTTTACGTTTTGGAGCTACTCCGCGCTGCTAACTAACTAATTAAAACCCTGGCGCGTCAAGTTTTTTAAGGTATATCTTTTCAAACAAATTTCAATCAAGTTTTACGCACCCTTTCCTAACATGCGTTAATTTTTGCAGCTATTCCGAACAGCTCCGGTGTGACAAACCGTGCGACTTTTGACAAATATTAAGGTTGAGTATGTCAAGAAATATTCTGTAAAATTGTGTTCGTGCTGCTAAATCTTGCAAAACATTTTATGAACAATTTAAATTTTGTATGGTAACTCAACCTAAATATTTTCATTTGTTAAATATTACGTAACATTTTTACTTTTTACGTATTATTATTATATTTATATATTATTAGATTTCGGTTCCAATTCACACATTAACCAATTTTTAAAAACATCGTATTTTTGTTTAAGTAGTATTCTACGGGCAAAATGCTTAAAGAAATTCCGTAACATAGAGGTTTTGCTGTTTTATCAAAAGCATATTGGCGCAACATAATATTGTTATATGGTCACTTGTAACGTATCAGGTGATCCACGATAGAACAATGCTGTTTCAGCAGTGATAAGCTAAGTGTTCACAAGGAGACATCTCATGAGATTTTTGTTTCATCGGCAATTTATCTTAGATATGTTTTCACAGAACATAAATTTTTCTGTGAAACACCCAAGTTCAGAAAAATTTCCCTCATGATATAAGGTGTCTCTGAATACGCTGTTTCCACAGTTGTCAATGTTTTGTAATTAGAAAGAAACAACAATTTGTGTTGTGGAGTGATTTTATAGAAACATGTCAACAAAAAAGGCTAAAAGAGGAATGCAGCTTGTTACTATTATCTTGTTACATCAGAAATGAAAAGGTTTCACAGATACTGGGTGAGAGATTGGATTAAAAGGAGGGAAAACAGTAATATAATGGACACATTATTAGAAGAACTAGCACGAGAAGATAAGGAATGTTATAAGAACTTTCTTCGAATGTCCGCCACTTAATTTCGTTATTTGCTGGATAAAATAAAGTTTACAACAAAACACACATGTGCGAGATGTAATTCCAGAAGCTGAACGGCTAGCTATTTCTTGTTTGGCTACCGGTAGGTACATTCAAATTCTTTAGTATCCAGTTTGGAGGAACCATTTTTTTAGGAAACAGCTATCATTTCCTAATGTATTTGTTTCGCATAATACTGTCTTATTTGTTCTGCAATTTACAGTGTTCTAAGAGAAGAATATTTACAAGTAAGTATACGAAACATCTTTATATTAAACTATTATTTTACATTTTGAAGTAAGTAGGCCCAAATGTTTCTTAACATAGTGCAAGAGTTCCTTCAGAACTGCCCTCATCTAGAACTTCTGGGTCATTATTAATTACCGGGATCTGCAACGTGGACTCATGCATGGTTTGCTCTTTGTTTATGGGTTGCTGTAGTTATGGAATTGTATTCTCCTGTAATTTGAGCTCATAGTTGTCGTTCATTTTTAAGATAACCCGCTGTATTTCCCTCTTCGCCCAGGATAGCAACTCTGAAGCTCATATTGCGCAGTTCGTCAGCCACATAATCTCCAAATATTTCAAAAGTGTCTGCTGACTTTGACACAACCCTAAGACATTGGTCAAGTGCAGCTTGTTTCTCTTGCTCTTTCGTCTTATTTAATGTTAGTTTTACCGATGAAGTTCTGGATGAACTTGGTGTGACATCACATGACGTAAGCGGTGTGTTAGAACGTGATGTGCTTGAAGTGTTGTCCACATTAATAGCTTGTTGAAATTCGCAAAAGTCATGTTTACATGTGTTTTTCGAGATAATGCTAATTAATTTTCGTTATTTCTTTATTATCTTTCCAATTCATCCTAATTTTTAAGTAATTATCGTTGCAATTCCTACTTTTTTTTTCAAATTAGTGGAAAAATGTATTGGGTGATTAAAGCAAATTAATTTTTATGGACTTATCCCAAGGTTGATATCACCGAAGATTTCAAAAAATGTTCACCCATCCAGCAGTGCTTGGAACCGTCCTAGTACTTTAGAGCATACAAATATGATACCAATATGTTGTTAATAAGAAAAACCCATACTTTACAAAGAGAGGCTTCCTCTTTGTTTGGAGATGTAAATCCAGCAGCTGAATGGCTAGCTGTTACCCTTTGCTGTAGTAATGGAATTGTATTTTCCTGTAATTTGAGCTCATAGTTGTTCATTTTTATGATAACTCGCTGTATTTCCCTCTTCACCCAGGATAGCAACTCTGGAGCTCAGCCACATAATCTCCAAATATTTCAAAACTATCTGCTTGACATAACTCTAAGAAATTTGCAAAAGTCATGTTTACATGTGTTTTTCGAGATAATGCTAGTTTCGTTATTTCACCATTATCTTTCCAATTCATCCTAATTTTTAAGTAATTATCTTTACAATTCCTACTTTTTCAAATTAGTAGAAAAATGTATTGGGTAATTAAAGGAAATTAATTTTTATGGACGTATCCTTAAAGATTTGTATCTGCGTAAGATTTTTCATCGTTTGATTACTTTTTAAACATATGAAATATGTATTGATCACAAAATTGTACCTCTCGATATAAAGCAAAATATGAAGGTGAATTTGAAATTGTTATTACATTCTACATGAAATAGCAATTATTTACCATTTTATTATTATTAAATAATATGAATACAAATTTCAATAAATTAATTTATTGAAGTTATAATGTAGTTTAGTTACATATGATAAATTTATGCAGCGGTGACGCTAGGATGCAATTACTGCACTGCTCGCGTTTTCCACTACGACAACACTGACCTCGCGACCTGTTTCTCTTGACACAATGTTCGCTAAAGCCGGCCCCTTTCCGTAGTAGTCCGCGAGCCACTCGAGATATTCATTTTGCAACTCCGACCCCGGCAAATTGCCTAACGATCGGGGTGAGGCTTAACTTTGCTTAACTTTGTTGTACTTTGACTCTGGAAAATCTCTACCAATCACTTTTTTTGTACCCAAAATCAAATATATGTGTATCCATAAGACGTTTATGTAAGAAAAATGCTCAAAATACTTTTTCGTTTGAATTGTGATATAAACATGGTGGAAAATCGGAGTTAAATATTGCAGAAAACGAACTCAACGGAAGGTAAAATGTCGTTTCGAGCGAAACCTTCGATTCCGATTGCTTTGGTAAACACGAATCCGATTAGGATACCGGTAACTGGCTCTCTAGTGCTTATGCAACTGCGCCCCATTCAAACGTTCCGTGAATGGTGACATCGTAATCGATAGTCGAAGCAACGATTCAACACAAAATAAGCCCATTTCTATTCGTTTTCGTTAATCAAAATAGAAAATTAATTGAAAATTTTATTAATACAAAAAGACTTACCTTCATGTGTGGGAAGCCAATGCCAACGAGGAAGTTTGCCATCCAATTAACCAGCACAGCAATGGACATAGCTGCAGGTCGGGGACCCTGCGAGAACAGTTCGGCAGTGATCATCCAGGGTATGGAACCGGGACCCACGGCGAAGAATACCACAAAACTCAACGTCGACACCACGGATAGGTACGACATCCAGTCTATCATCTCCTGTACGTAGCCAAAAAACTCCTATCACACAGTAGTAATACTGTTCTTTTCCGACGCGGGAGGAGTGACGTTTGCAAAAATTTTTACAAAAAAACATAATCATGCTACAACTAAAATTATAGCTCAAATTTAAAGTTACCACTTTTTAAAATTAAGATAAGAAGAAAATTTAATCATCATTCGCTTTATAATTATTTATTGATTTGTTTTCTTGTGTACCATGTAAATGAAATTTTAGAGGCGTGTTGTTATGACGTGTTATGTAATGAATTCGATTTTTGCGTGTAAACACTCGCTTCATACTTGAATAATAAAAAATCTCAAAAAAATAATTAATAAAAAAAATCAACTTTTCTTCTTACCTCAAATTATCATGCTTATATTTTTATATAATTTTTTTTTATAAAGTGCAAAAGGTGTTGAAATCTCATTCGTGTGGATACACAGCGTTTATACAAGACAACAAAACGTCGATGGTCGAGCATTAGACAAATTGCAGCGGTATTCGTCTCTCCTCCACTGTCAGAAAAGTCGCAAAAGGTGGCAAAGGGAATAAAAATAAAAAGGGGTTATAAAAAAGCATCGTTCGTAGCAACGTTAAAGAACGTGACGAACGCAAAACAATGCCGAATCCGAGGTAGCACCATCGGAATCGAGAATAGTACGTGATCTGGCGGTGATGTGTGCGATCGCAAATGGACGACTTTCGGGGAGCTTTACTGCTACGAAAGCTTTAGTGTCGTTTGTCGAGTTAGGGGGGTTGCTCACGTTGAAATGAGTTTCCAAGCTGAGTTTGCTGGCGAAAATAATCAAAATAACATGCAAGGCGGAGAGAGTTGGGTGGGTACTAGACATTTTAATTGTGGGTTTAGATGTACTCCTATTTTTTATTTGTTTTGGTAAATTAGATTTTTTATTGTTTAAAATACATCCAAAACCACATTCAAAAGAAAAAAAAAGACACTTCGTTTAAAAGCTTTTAGATGATTTATAATTAATTAATTAATTCGTAAGCTTTTTAATGAATTACTGGCTATCCCATTTAATCTTTATTTTATTTTCTATTATCCTGCTGGTTTAGCATTTATTATAATATCGAATAAAATTATAATAAATACCCTGTCGTATTTGGAAATATCGATTTTATACCTGATAATTAATTAGCTTGTAATCACAGAAAATAATTAATTATTTTTTAAACCTAATTGAATCAAATTGAACCCGATAGATAATTTTATTAATTAACTTGAAACTGCCGCAACCCAATTGATTTTATCCCATATCATTGTTCATTCAGCATATTTACATAGCAAATCGAAAATTCGATTTATTATTAGCATATTTAATAGCCGGCTTATTTTAAAATCCTGAAGCCGATTTGAAACCTGTTTACCAACCTTTATCAGGAACGAAATTGTTATAAAAATGGAGAATATAAACATTCCCCCAAGGCCGTAGAGGAGCAGCGTTCTCCTCCCTGTCCTATCCATTAACGGAATGGACACCAGCGTCATCCCTACCATGATGGCACCGATGCCGATCGTCGCAAACTTGGCACTTTCGTCCGATAGGCCGGAACTGGTGAAGAGGCTCGTTGAATAATAAAATACCTAAATAAGTTAATAAAAAAGTCAATAATAACCCAAATAAATTTATTTATGTATATTTACCGCGTTGATACCGGAAAGTTGCTGTGATAATTGCATAACTATTCCGATGATGAGTGGGGCCCTGAGAGTTCTCGAGCAGATAAGTTGCATCATACTGATGGACGATTCCGATTGTTGCGCTCTTTCTTCCGCTCGCATCTCCTCAATATCTTCCTCAACTTGATTGCTAGCTCTCAGCCTCCTCAATGCTTTTCTCGCTTCTTCTTCCCATTGCTTCGTAATAAGTAAATACCGGGGACTTTCCGGACAAATGGGTAAAAGAACCAATTGTAGCATCGACGGGCATACAGCCAAACCAAGTAATAAAGGCCATCCATCGTTTGTACCCAATATTTGCTTGATGCCCAACACTTGGGAAAGAAGAAGACCAACCGTAACAGCCAATTGATTCACCGTCCCCAATCCGCCCCTGAGATTTAACGGAGCTATCTCCGATATGTACATCGGCACCAAAGAAGTGTTCAAACCTAAATCGATTTCTTTTTTTTGAAATTTGATTTCTTTAATAATTAATAACTCACCGCAATTGACACCAATTATAAATCTACCGACAAAGAGCATTTCATAGGCATTAGCCATTTTGGTGAACCACATCAAACAGGCTCCGCCGATTCCTAAAACGTTGTTTAGAAGAAGACCACCTTTTCTATAAATCAAAATAAATTTAGAGACGAAGCTTAATTCAAAGCATGTTATTTTAAACCTTCCAAATCTGTTGGCAACCATTCCCCCGCAGAAACCACCCACCATCCCCCCAATGGCGAAGATGGACACGGCTAGAGAATAGAGTCCTTCGACAGCATCGTCCGGAATGTCCTGTCCATACCTCGACCTATATACGTCCTTGATGAAGTACTCGATGTTCCCTTGAGGCGCGTTAATCACTCCGGTGTTGTAGCCGAATTGCAACATCCCCAATACCGCGGCCAGGATCGCGTACGTGAGAAAAAAGGTCAAACCCTGAAATAAATATTCCACATAGTAAAAAAAAATCGCCATTTTTTTGTTGGTCGATTGAAGAGTCGACTATAATTTTATGGCCCCACTTCATCGTTATGTTCTAGCGGCCCAAACTCAGCCCGAGTTCGGCTGAGGGACTTTCCTGAAAAGGCGTATCCAGCGGATTTAGCCGGACTGTGACTGCGCATTAAAGACACCGCTAATTACCGCAAATTGGGGCTCCTCGCTCAGCGAAATTCTCAGGGCCCTTTGAATTTAACGCGGATTTCAGCCGCTGGAATTGAAATTAACGTTAAACCGCTCCGTTTCACGGTATGTACTCTAAAACCACGTTTACACTCTACCTAGTTTACAGTTCAATGGTCGTATAAAGCCATTGAATAAAAAAAATATATTTAATTTGCCCAATTTTGTGTTCGTTTCTTTTTATTATTTTGACGAACCTGTTCAAGCAGACGCAACTTCCTTCTGTGCGTATGCTCTTCAAGACGATCGACGTACTCACGCAGTTCCTCGATTTCCTCCTTGACCTGCTGAACGGTGTCCAGCTCATGCTTTATAGCCACCATGTCTCTTTTCACTTCAGAAACTTCCGACTGACAGGACTCCACTGATTTGGTCAGCTCCTGCAGTTGGCTTCTGATTTCGCATAGGGCCACCGTAGTCTCCAGGTGCCGGTCGCCGCGTTGCAGCTCATCCAATTTGGCGCTCAAGTTCATACTCATCACGCTCACCTGCTTCTGCAGACTATTCCGGTCATAAAGAAGCAGCACAAGCAAACGAAAAAAAAAACATTTGTATTTCATAATTAGAGTACTAACAAATTCTCGAATGAGATATTAATGTAAAGATGAAATAAATACATGCATACACAATAAATAATCACAAAATTTAAGAATTACTGTTACTCGATTTCTTTAGTTACTTTTTAATAAGATAATTGAGTCACGTATAGAGGATTGGTTGAAAATCTCGATTAGAATTCGTGTAGTATCGCGTATAGATTGAAATTTCAAGCGCGAATGGTGCATTGCCGTGGTATTAATTGGAGTTTCGGGGTGGACGGTGTCGCCCTCCGCTTGACCGTATCGTACCATAGCATAATCTAATCTCACAACGTATTTATTAACGGAATTTATCGCAAATTGAATATGAAATCGCCGCCGGACACCGCCAATGGGTTGCAGCTCCGCATTATTCTGTAAATCCCATTATCACCGTAGAGGCGGCCCTGTGCGTCCAATGGCTAGTTTCGTTTTGATTGATCGACTTCGATTAATACCTAATCAAGATTACATCACAATTTCCTAACAGGTAAAAAATTTTTTATTATTCTACGCTGTAATAACAATGAAAAGACGTAACGTTTGTAATTTGATTTATTATCTTTTAAATCGTCGAATGGAAACTCAAACAAATATGTATTTTCGTAATTCATTTAAAATCCTAATTCAAAAACGTAACGTGAAATGTAAAAACAACGCCAATCAATCTGTGAAACTGCTCAATCGCAACGGCACCCCGCGTTTCCCTTTTTTGGTTTTATTGGAAATTGTGTGCTGATGAAATTTGTTTAATGCACCAGCCCGCGACTATAAATGCAATATTGAGCGGGTACAAAAAATTGCATATGTGAAGTCTGATTGACGAGGTGGATAAACAAAAATCAAACAAGTTTTGTTTTCATATTCATTTTTTTTATTACGATATTCTCTGTTGAAGCGGTACAAAATTTTATCAAGTCAATTAATGCCAAAAGGACACTGGGGGAAAATTCATTTTAAAAATCACCATAAATTTGAATTCATAATCCGGCATCGACCTCGTCCCATTCAATTAAACGTATAATAAACCGAGATAGAATTATGAATTGCAGTTTAACGCGCCCTGTTCGGTTAAGTTTAAACTCTCATTAAAACGGGGAAAATTGGCACACAACAGTGAGGGGTTGCACGTGTTACGGGGTGGACAGGGTAATCGTTAAATGAGTTATTAGCACGTAAGGTGTGCCTGTTTCCGGTTGATATCTTGACTGTCTTGATGGTAATTGCTCTTAAACTTCATTAATTATGCAAGTTTCATTAAAAAATTCGTGTCAGGAAACTTTTAAAATCCTATTTTTATCAATTTTTTTAAAGTCATTTATGCTAAATTTATAACAAAATATAAAGGGGAAAAAACAAAAACGGTGGAGGAGCCGAATAATTTAATTCGTCCTAAAACGAATCAGTTTTGTGATAATAGGTTTTAGTTAAAATTAAATAAATTAACATTTTTAAACGAAATATTTTTGAGCGTTTCCCAAACTGTGTTAAATATAATTTATATCCTGAAGTTTAATAGTCATTAAAATAAAAGTATTAAACAGTCAGCTAAGTTGCTATTCTAGTTATTATGGCTTAAAAGTTATTATTTATTTCTAATGTTAATTCAAAAATTTATAGAAACGATCTTGTCCCCATAATAAGTGTTTGAAAAAATGTATGTAATAAACAAATATTGAAAAGACAAACTTTTGTCAATGGCATTATTGGCAAAAAAACTGAAATTCACGGTTTTCCACCATATCAGTGTCGTGAGATATAAAATTGACTCTGAGGAATTAATATCAATTTAGCAGAAAGACAATCAAATTTCAATATGAACAAACAATGTTGAGTTTCATGCCATGCAACATGGAAGCAGTTCTATTATTTATTTTTGACAGCTTAAAAAAGTGACCGTCGGTGACGATATTGGCAAACAGATATGGTACCCATAGTTTAGAAACATTCCAGTCTCCTTTGAGCTGTTAATGGAAAGAATCCTAAAAGGGTTGTCGTGGAAAACCGTTCTGGCACACCAAACCTGGTAAGCATAGTCAGAGTATTTAGAAGTCCCGCTTATGCAACAATTTAGAATCCAATACGAAGTGTGTCATTTTCCGGAACAGAATCAAAACTAGTACTGTTCATTAAATTCGAAGGTTCCTAGACCTGCACACATATTATAGATCTTTTATCAATGGATTCGCCAACATGGGCAAGTCGTTGGTTAAACTAAAGACATGTGAGTTCACATAGCAGTAAGAAACAAACGATGGCCTATTGATTGGGATTGATCAATGACTTGGCAAATTTTTGGAATATTTCTATTCAAAATATTGTTATTTTGTTTTGGTAAATATAAAATGACGATATTAAATATATCAAGAGCAAGGAACATGACGTGGCTGATATGAGTTTGTCACCGTTTGGCATAATGTTTGCCAAAACCTTTGCAAAAATACGATGCGTTTTTAAGAGGTTATTTTAAGTGTTATCTTATAGGTAGAAGTATGTCTGTTATAAAGAAATCAAGATGAGACGTCCTGCAACATCTCCATAAAAGAACTTAGTGAATTTTGACGTGAAGGAAAATTTTCGAAAATGTAAATTTATCGAGTTTACCAAGCCAAAGTAAAACATCGCGAGAATCGTTGTGGAAGTTTCTCCAATACCAGAATATTTTTTAGATAAAAAAAGATAAAAGTGTCAAAATGGTTTAAATGTTGGGAATATACTCTCCCCATAAAGGGTAGAAGATCTGATAAGTTCTCTACTAGCACGAAATGGCTACTTTAAGGAAGCGTTGGTAGCAGTAAGAAAAAAAAACCACGATGATATGTAGATTTACAAATACTTATTTCCAATAGAACTCTTGACGTCCAGTTGCTATTGATAAAGACAAGAAAAAACGAACTATTAGGATGTGTGTCTAATAAAGGATACCATCGATCAATGTTCTAACTGTGATACTCTTATTTACGTAAATAAACGTTTGCCTATGTAGGTGTTGAAAATACTGTATTATTTTCGTGTTACTTTTTCTGCAATCGGCGACATCATGGAGATTAAAAATCTGATTGGTGACATGGGTAGATAGATTTAAAAAGAAGAAGATGGTGTTGGTATTCGGCCTAATCAAGGAAAGTACAAAACTAATCATTAGCTTCTCTTAGTCTGTTGACTATAAAAGCAGAAAGTACTCTCACTTTTAAGGGATCCAACGAAACCTGTTGATGAAAATTTTCCACTTGGTACAAAACATGTAGCCTTAGAGAGACACAACCTGAAGGATAATTATAGATCAGGTTTAAATGCTCAACCCCGTTAAAATGAATTAGCTGCATTTACATCAAGCTTATAATACAAAAATATCGCACTAACTCACCTCTTTAATTCGAAACGTTACAATTAGATACGACGAAATCTTCAGACGAAAAGTCATGCAACACACGTTGTAAAGAATTAAGCATCATTACAAAAAAGTTAAAGCTCCTATAGCCAGTAAACAAGCCAATTTCAAAGAATTTTGTGACAATCTGGACGACGATGTGTGGATCATTTAATGTGAGACAGATAGTAAAAGGTCGCGGTGGCATCTTTATTTGTGAAGAAACTTTTAGGCACCATAAACGAAACTTATATCGAAAGCATGAACAATTAAGCTCTTGCAGGTAATAATACAGGATAGCTACAGTTTTGACGTTCCACCTTGAATGCTATCTCTAGAATATAAAGTATGAAAGCTAAAACTTACACCTATCAAGAGTTATGGGTAATAGTACTCCTTGACATAAAAAATACTGTTCACTTATTTCCTTAGATAAGGATCATGAAAGCCGAGGGAAAGATTTTCGCATATAGAATATTTTGAATATAGAAGAATCATAATTTAGACTTAAAATAGAAATTGAAAAACTGCTAGTATTAGGACGGTTTTAAAGTTTAAACAAAAACATAGCCGTTTTAAAGGCAACGGAACACACAATAAAATTTTAGGTGTATTCTTTTGACAGCCTTAAGTCTTGACAGTAACTTAAGAAAAAACATAACTCAATTTGTAAAATAGAAAAATTTTCACTGAAATGGAATAATTAACACAACTGATAAGTGGAGATCATAATTGTCAAGATGAAATAAAACGTCATAATAATCATGGAGATCATAATAAATTGAAATAATTTTACAATGCTCCTCCATACCAGGAGGACTAGGATTGGTATGGAAGACTTTCTTATTTGTATATTAAAGATGTGCTGCAATGAATTTCCACTGTGTCCATAATAGACATTTTAAGAGTAAGACCACTATGTCACAGAATAACCAGAAAGGACAAAACCGGCGGTGCCTTTGAAGTTTCACCAGCTATTTTATTTGACCTTCGGCCATATTGTTGGCGTTTAGGCGCCAATTTGAAAAGTAAAGTACTCTGTTTTAGGAGAGTGTCCACTAAAATGATTTTGAAATTTAATTTTACTAAATTTGTATTGAAGATATAATTACGGTTATTTTTATGAAAATTTAATACAATATATAAAATTCATTTAATACAGTATATCGTTAATTAAAAAAAATATGTAGATCATTTAAAAATATTTATTTTATAAATTATTAACAATTTTAAATTTTGCACTTGGTCCATTTACAGGTGTTTTTTTCATATTCCGATTGTGATACTTTAAGGTATAAAATAATCTTAATCTAATAAACAAGCTTAATAAAAACTTTGTAGGAAAATTTGAACAATCAAAATGGTGCTCTATTGTTTTTAAATTTTGTAAAAATTGACTACCCACTCCTCTTTTGTGTAGTATAGTCGAATAGACTGCTTTGATCTAAAACAATTACATAAATATAATTTAAATTGTAAATATTACTACTAAATTTTCTTTACCTTTCTAGATCTTTTGGTATGCAAAACATACTTATCTTCGTGCCAACAGTACTGGTATTACAACCACGTACCATACAATAACAGCCACCTTTCACACTCATTTTATATTAATAAAAACTAATTAAAATAATAACTACTAAGAAACTATTATTAAAAAATACAAAAACTAAACTATGCTGAAAGATAAGATAAACTAATACTACTTTAAAATATAAGAAAAAATAGAATAATACACTAAATAACTATTAATTAAACAACTACAACTCAAAGAAAAACTTTCGCTATCAAAACAATCTCAACAAACGCACGTGGTAACACAGATTGACAAAGATGTAAATAAACGCCAACAATATGGCGGCCATAAAAATGAGTTTCGGCGGGAAGGTCTCTTTGTCCTTTCTGGTTATTCTGTGACTATGTTTTGCCTTCAGGCACCGACACCAGTTACCATAGTTAAACTATGTTCAGTAGAATTTAACGAAAGAACTGTAGAAAACCTGCGAGGTTAGTTGCAGAGGCAGCTGCCTGAATCAAGATGCTTGTTCCGAAATGTATAAGTATTTTCCCGACCACACCGTTCTTCGACTATCATAAGCAAAACAGACGTTGTATAAAAAGAATGTTTGTGTTGGAAGAATGCTATAATAAACATGAGAAAAAAGACAAGGAAGATGATCATCAATTATATTTGTGTTGATATGAAAATCAGGGAAACACACAACAAAAGAATGTTAATAGATCCACTAAAACTTAAGACAAATCCAAAACTGAATTTTTACTTCCAATACGAAATTAGAAAGTTTCGTTAAAATGGAATCATTGACACTGATGAGTGTAGACATAATTATCAATATCAAGATGTTTACTTTCATCTTGATGAATCTTTGCCATAAGATATAAGTAATATCAATCAAACATAAATTATTTTTCATCTTCAATCCTTCATTCATCAGCTCCTTTTTTCATTAAATATTGGATCTTATCCGATATTATGGAACAACCCCGTTGATTTAGCATGCACATATAGGTCGCGAATCTTACTTCAACACTAAAACACTTAAACAACCACAGAATCATCCTCCTCCATCACCCTCACCACATGTGCGCCATCAATAGACAATCCATTAAACGACATTAAACATTTTTCTCTTTCATAAACTCTATATTACATTTACATTAAGCCATAACCAATAGCGAAACACCTGTGCTTTCTCTCACAATTTTTTAATTTATGACCACACTAAAAAAAACAAATTTTATCCGAGCAATAGTTATGTTGTAGATCACCTATATCACTCAGGCAAAACATAAATTCGTTGATGTCTAAGAAACATCTAAAATACCTCTCAGCTGGAACAACACCCTCTTCACAAAAATATATCATCAACTTCTAAAATTCTAAGTTGATGTCAGAATTTAAATTAATTAGTTCATCCATAAAACTGCTCAACACGAAACAATTTAAAATTTCGCATGGAGTTTTGGCGTTTTTCCCGTCACTGATATTTAAATATTGTTTTATTAGTTTAGAATGGTAGTATTTGTTTGAGCATTTTTTATCGTTCACACATAATTTTTGCAACGCACCCGCGCGGAAGCGCCCAATAAATGTTTAAAAACAACGTGTACAAAAATATTGAAATATAAAGCATAGATCTTCCATTACCTAATACATGGCGAACGTATATTTTTTTGACATCAAATAAAATATTATGAAACGTTTATTGTCCACTGAATAAAATTCCGTTTATTTTTACGCTTTTAACTTTAATACCCGGTTATTTACGCTTTCCCGAACGATAAAATAATTTATATGAAATATAATAAAATATGAACAAGGATGATCTATTCATTAGTGTGAATAAACGACATTAAACATTTACAAACTTTCTGTAGGGAAAAAAGAAGTACAAGTATATATACACGCGCAACAGTAATTCATTCGCGATTTAGCGGGAGAATTATCGAATCCATGCATTACTTATTCTTAATCTCCCTTTAATCGGCAAGTACTACATAGTTTCATAACATGCAAGAACTAGTTCTACAAAAAGAATGCAACGACGACAACTACTGGAATTCATGCATATAAAGAGAGAATTAGAAATCTGCATTATTAATGGTTATTTTTTGTTGAGTGATTAAAAAGAATATGATTTTGCTAATAAAAGGCATGCATACACTTGGAGCGAATTGGATCGCCTACTACAAAGCTTCAATACCTGGGAGGTAAGGAAACCATGGCTGTGTTCCAAACTACAGTGGACACGTTCCCAGGTTTGCTCGCACTCTCCAATGAAAATTCCGAAATTCACTCGCAGATGACTCTACAAGACAAAGCGCTGACCGCGCATCGGCTTCAAGGACGACTCGAAACTGACCCTTACTCCACCTATAGTTTGGAAACACAGCCCAAAGTCAGGGTGCGTGCGAAATGAGAGTCAGAAAAAGAGAGTCTTTCAAAAAAAATTTCATATCCATTTTTATTTTTTAATTTTTTCTTTCTTTTTCTTCTAATTTCTTATTAATTTGATGATTATGAGTTGTTGACGTGATCGTAACGCAGCCTAACATAGAGGATACAGCGTTTCCAAAGTCTCCGAATTGCCGACGCGGTCTTCGTTCGAAGAAGCACCAAAAGCATTAAAAAACAAATTCGATAGTGCATAGAGCGCTTTAAGCATTATAATGAACAAATACGCCGTTTTGAATAAGTTGGCAGAAAGCGGAAAGAATGATGATGAAAAACATGAAGTCAAATCCTCTATGCTAAGCTGAGTCGATCAACAAAATCAAAAAAATTAAAAAATAAAAACTAGGATTACTCATTTATAATCAATATTTTTTCGTCTATTGTCTTATAATTAGATTAAAAAGATTAAATTACAAATGAGTATCCCTTTTGAATATGTAGCCAAACACGTAATAAAAGTGAAGGCCCTTTGTTTTACTTTAAAACATCAAACAATAGTATTTTGTGTTCAATATTAAAAATGATGTATTCGTGGGATGTGAAATATAAAACGTGTGTGTGTATTTGTGTATCGTAAATAATTAAAACTTCCAAATATTAAAATAATAAATTATTAAAAGATAATCACCAACGGTCATAAATAAATTTAAATCCACAAATATTTAGTTTTCATAGTGATTTATGAACATCTCCTTTTTTCTTTATCCCTTTTTTTAAGTTGAAAATAAAACTCGACGTTGCCACTTCGCTGACTTTTTGGGGCAAACCAAGGGAAGAAGAAGAGAACTTTGAAAGCTCGGCACGAAGTTAACAAGCGGGGAAAAGGATTCGGCCGCCGCGACGCATTAAATCATAATATCCATCTTGAAAATTGAAAATTCGCATCACAAAGACGACCGCCGTTGACGCCCAAAAACCCCCGACGACGACGACGAGGACGACGACGTCCGACGACTGCGACGCCAATTTCTCGAGAAAAATTGGCTCTCATTGCTCTCTCTGGGTGCTTCTGTCACGTCGACGGACGAGCACACAAAGCACACGCGGTCGAACAAACAACGACGAGAAAGAAAAGGGGAGGTCACGATAAAAAAATTCACAAAAAGTGAACTAGGAAATTTAGTCGAAAAAAGGATAGGAAGAAAAAGAAAAATCGTTTGGAGTGCTCCCGACGTTTTTCCGAATTTTCTAGATTTAAGTTTATTTAGTTAAGTTTATTTATATTTAGAATATAATTATTTTAATTCTATTATTATTATTATTCGTGAGTAGGCAGATAAGAAATTCTATTATTCCTTAAGGGTGATTATGGGAAAATTAAGGAATGTGTATGAACATGTAAAGCCTCTTTAGGTGCTACAAATGGTGTGGTTACAACCACAAATTGAGTGTTTGGACTTAACTGTGCTCTCGATCGAAATAACAATTATCTCAGCATAAAATTATTTGAATTTATTATAAAGTACCTAGATTATATGTTTTGTTATATATTTATATACGTAACTGAATATAAAAACCACATTAGAAGAAAGGTTGATGAGGAATGCTTTTGCAGGTACACTAAGAATTTGGAAGCATACAACCTATTTTAGAATCGTATCTATCGCATCAACACTAGGTGCAATAAACATCTCGAAGGAAAAACCGAATTAGGTTTCAAAAGGCCAATATAATATTTAGAGTGGTATTTAAATGCTGGATTCTTTACAAACATGGTACTGTTAAGTGTTGGCTATGCAAAGAATAAAACAATACTGGGCTTAAGAATCAAAATGTGACTTAGTAGTATCTACAATGACTAGAAATCGTTACACTGAGACATTCCACTAATATTCCATAACCTACACGATCTAACAATAGCTTCTGGAAAATACGTCCAATAGTTTCTGGAAAATACGTCCAATAGCTTCTGGAACATACGTCCAATAGTTTCAGAAAATGAAAGAATATACCAGGAAAATGTAACAAATCCGAAAGCAATAAAAAAATTTTGAATTTCGAAGTAAATCCTGGCGGATTACCATTGGATTTATATTTGTACAAAAGTAAATGGTGTTAAGCGGAATTCTGAAAAGTGACATGTAGGTTGGGGAATGGTACTGAACTTGCAAGATACCCTACAATGTGCATTTCAAATTGCATGGATCGTTATTTTACCTAATTTTTGGAGTTCATAAGGCAAAGATGTTCTCTTTGCCGGGCGGGACGTGCATTTTAATGAAAGACAAGGTGGTCAAGAAGGAACGAACTTTAAAAAAGAATAGTAAATCAAAGAAAGACGAAAAGTTAACTATGAGAGCAATTTTCCACCCTAAGAAGTTCCCAGTTTGGATAGAGTATCGCTGAGACGCTAAAGTCAAGCGGAAATGTTTAATGTAGTACTTTGATTTCAAAATGGAGCCGACAAAACCTTTGACTTACTCTATCCAAAATAAGAACTCTCAAAATCCGCTTAAAAACATTTCGAAACTGGCTTCTCATCTGCCAGAAGATATAACAAAAACCGATCTAAATAAAGAGGAATTGTTATAAAACTTTTCTTGGGCAATGAAAAACGTCTCTTAAAGTCAATAATTTGTAAATCAGACCCCTTATTTTTGAGTACTAATTGAAATCCTTAAAATCCTTAAAGCAACTGGGTGTTCCAAACACTTTTATAGAATCGCTGGAGATAGTTGGAAGTCACCTTATTGAAAAAGGAAATATTTATAACTGTATATGGAACAATACATGAGCAGCAGGTAAGTAATAGAGACCGTTAATGTGTTCGAAAATAGTACAAAAACACCAAGTCCTGGTTTTGCAGAGAAACTGCCAGAACATAAAAAACAAGCTATTTATCCTACAAAAGCACATTTGCATCCTAAACCATAGTTGAACATGGTCGTGTACGAAACGAAGTAAATTCCAGAATAGAAGTTATAAAGAAAGCATATTGGAATAAATTTACCAAGAATATGAACACATCAATAAAGTTATTTACAAGTGTAATAAAAAATAAGCTGGAAAATCATATTACAAATGCCGGACAACAACAATACTTTAGAAAAGATCGCTCAATAACGGACGCTGCATTCGTTATGAAATAACTAAACGAAAAATCCACTGATAATGAGTTTTTGAGGAATTTGTCCAAACCATTTAACAGAGTGCGATTTGGGACGTAATGAACGTGTTAACACAAGGAGGTACAATCTTAGCAGATACCAGATCTTAACTCTGTCCCACAAATTGAAAATTCCGAGATCAGCGCAAGATATTTTGGCACAACTACGTAAGTAGAATTTTATAACAGACTGCCAAAAATTGTGCTTACAAATAACCCACAAGGAACTAGACAACCAAAGAGCTGGAGAGACAACTGGTAGTCAACTTCTCTAGAGATATTTCAGAGGTAAATCTCATCAGTAACAACAGATCCAACATTATAGAGAGAGAAAAGAAGACCGAGTAAAAAGGAGAAGAAGCTATACAAAGGCTATAGTTAAAACTCTATACAGCGTGTCCCGTATCTTCCGCATCAGAGCATTATACGGTTGTAGGATACATTATTCTGAAGCGATCTTTCTAATAAATTTTTTTCGAAATGTTTATAATAACCGCACGGGAACTGTTTAAAGGAACTGTTTTTCGTCCAATCAGCAGATCGCAAATCAGACTCAGGTAATCGGTGCCACCCTCGGCCGGTTCGCTACGCCGATGATAACTCGTTTCCCACGTGCACTTACCAATAGATTCGTCATGGAAAGAGAAATAAACTTTTTCGATGAATCAAAGTCGTCCGTTATTGGTCGTCGTTAAACAGTTCCCGTGCGGTTATTATAAACATTTCGAAAAAATTTTATTAGAAAGATCGCTTCAGAATAATGTATTCTACAACCGTATAATGCTCTGATGCGGAAGATACGGGACACGCTGTATAATTTTACCCATACAACTTGTTAAAGATGCTAAATATGAGGAAATGTGCATAACTGTAACCAAAAGGAAAACCATTGTCGAAAAAACCCAGCGTGAGTACGAAAAGACCCAAGTAGTAATAAATGACTAAAAGTTTCAGTTTATCCCCTGAAACTTTTTTGGCATTTTACTAACATTAATTGGAAATATGCGAAAAATAGGAAGGTTTTAATAAAGAGTCTTTTGGATATAAAATCACGTGCAGGATATTCATCTGATTTTCTTTTTATTAGACTTACCATTGTCTTATGTCACTAAACAAAAAAATGTGATTTCACTTTCCTCTAGAAATCACGAACATGGTGGCATTGCTGATGAAAATGAAAAATTGAATCCTAGTATTATTCTGGCATACAACTAAAAGAAATTATACTAAACTATTTCTTAATTTGATTGACTTGGTATATTGAAATGGGACTTACTAACTTACAAATTGAAAGATATAGAAAGTACTAGAAGAACAATAAGGATGACACCGATAGTCAAGATACTAAAATAGGACGTTGTGGTATATGTCGTGAATCTGATAATAAATATATGTATAATAGCTTGCATCTACTACACAAAAGATGAGAATGAGGAGCCATCTTAAAAAATATTATAAGAATAATAGTTAAAATAATTCCTAACAAACTCTATTCCAACTTCAAAGCAAGCAAAACCATCCCAACAAATCCTAGAAAAAACTACAAAAAGTAATATTTTTTTTATTTATAAGAATATATCTGTTATTTTCCTTTGTGGTGTTATTCATATAGGAAATATAATCAAAAATATGTATACATTGTGTCAATGTAGACCCAGTTTTAGTAAGAAAAGTTTTTTAATTATTTTAGTTAGGCGAAGTAAGCAATTTTTGTCAACACTCATAGAAAATATTGATTGGAGCTTTTGAATGAATTGTGTTTATAATTTTTAACTGTTTTTATTTTACAATATCGATTTAAAACAAAAATTGATTTTCGTGAGCGTTAATTTAATAACACAATTCGGACGAGCAGATAAATACACCAACAATGCAATTAAATATCCTGGTTTTCCCGCAATCGCACGGGAATACTTCAAAGCCCCGATTTTAATCTAGTTTGTAAATTACGCATTTTATAAACATTTGGGTTAATTAATTCGTCGACCGCACCCCAATCCGCTCCGCGTATGACGCGTGTTCGAAAATGAATAGAAAGGATTTTCGAAACGATAATAATTCGATTTGATTTCAATACAAATGGCAACGTCGATATAAAAGTCGACCAAGTCGACCCAGTTTCTAATAATATATTTATCCAAGTAAAAAGCAATTATTACGTTAGTTATTATCTTTACAAATTAATTACTGCAGGTGAATATTAATCATAACTTGAGCATGGAATTCATAATAAGTTTTAAAGTATTTTTTGAGTGTATTTTGTTTTGTTTGATTTCTGTATTGTTTTATGTTATTTGTAGTACATTTTTTGGTACCTAATAAGCAGCTCTCTAAGTGTGGCTTCATCATCTTCTTGTATTTCTTTCTTCGTTTCATCACGCGATCTTCGCGTTCGGCCCGATCCTGTGGCCCCCTGCTGCTGATGCTGCTGTTGGTGCTGGTGTCGGCCGCGAGAGGTCAGCTTGAGCGTAGCCGCCGAGTACTGTTCCGGCTCGACATCCGAGCCCAGCTCATATTCCTCCACCTCGACTGCGTCCGCGTTTACTGTAACCACACAACCACAACCCCTTTCTACATACAACAAACCCTTATTCAATTCCCTAAATTCCACACTGCAATCTACAGAGCACATCAATGTATAATATATCTTAGGAATTCGATAAGGTTTAAATTTGCACGACAAAGATCTAATTCATGCTGAGGAATATAAGGAACAAAGCGGGAAATATAAAGAAATTTGATTAAAATTAAGAAAAAAAAAAGAAAGAAAGTGGAAAGTGAAGGCAATTAAAAATAATGCTTTTGGTATTTACAATAATCGTTGTATTCCCTCGATTAGCCCTTTCTCTTATAATAATTTATCAAGCGCAAACGCATTATTCCGCAAACAAGAACCCAGCGGACATAAACCCGGAGGCCCCACCAATCCAAAGCCGCCCCCAATCTCATTCACATGCGCGCCCGTTCATTACCCGCTTAACCGCCCGAAAGCAATTAAAAACAAAAGCAATAAAGGGCCGAAACAATAAACAACGCAGCCGAAGGTCCATATTTAATAAGGGGGCTCCCCGCCTGGTCCGCTTGGACTTCGGGGACGTCAATATAACATACTGGTCAATTAACTCATTTAATTTCAAACGAAAAAAAAACCATATTCTTTCTTAATCTTTATTATGTGGTGTATTAATCAATTGATCAATATGTTTTTAATTTTTTGTTGGGTGATGGATCGGAATTAAATATTTGTTTGGGGGGGGGGGGAGTTTTACCTGTGTGCTGTGAGCCGGCTGTGGTGGTTGCTGTGGTAAGGGTGTCGACCGACGACTCGCTTGTAGCCAAGCGGTGCGGCTGAGGCGTCGAGGCGCGTCTCATGGGTGCGCCCTTAGTGGCCCCCGTTCCCCCCGAGCCTCCCCTGCAACGACAAGAGCCCCACGAGCCTCACGCCGCCTCTGCACAGAGACACACCACATGCACACGATTGATTCAATTTCTTTTGATACGCGACGTTCAATCATTTTTTTTTATAATTTCCTAAACGCATAACACTAAAGCCGATCATAAAACACGTCCATCCCAGATTTAATGGGGTTTTGGACAAAGGCTTAAAATAAAGCTTGAATTAAAATATATATGAAGGGTTTTACGAAAAATCTACTAATGCGATGGATTTTATATTTTACATATTATATAAATTTGGGTCATGAGGATCTCGTTTTTTTGAGAGTACCGAATCTCATTTCTCTATCTCATCTGATAATTAATAACGGAAATTGATATCAACCTTAGTCATTGTAAATAAATGGTTAGATAACTTATTTTGAAACTATACGAATGCCCAAAAACCGTCAAATGTCTTAGTAGTAAGCATAAGTATGTATTTTAATAGGAACGCACATTTGAATGTTTTTCATGATCTGAAAACGTCTTGGGGTAGATTATAAACGAAGACGGAAAGGATAATAAAAATATAATGAGGAAGCTTGGCAGAGGAAAAGAAGCGATAAAGGCAATGTATTCAATTCTGTGGAATAACAACCTAATGATACAAACAAAGAAAAGTATTCTTAGGACCATTACAGAATCAGTAATGACATATGGGTCAGAAGTGTGGGTGAGAGACAAAGACACAAGTCGAAGACTGCTAGCAGAAGAGATGATGTTTTGGAGAAGATACTGCGTCATAACCATGCCATGGACCGAGTTGAAAATGAGGAATAAGAAGAAGAATGATACGAAACTCAGTAATAACACTATAAATGAAAAGCAACTAAAATGACATGTACGCCAAATGAGTAAAGAGAGAATCGCACTTAAGGTTTGGAACGGGGTGCCAGCAGAAAGAAACAAAAGAGGTAGGCCTAGGAAAAAATGGATCCAGAATACCAATGTGGGTGAAGATTGTTGGAATAATAAGGACCGCTGACAGTTGGGATGCGAGAAGTGGCAATAAAAAAAGCTGCAAATATTCGCCAAATACAATAGAATAGAAAACGTCAGTGAAAGTTGTCATTATTATAATTATTGTGAAGTTCATGAACGACCAACGTATGGAAAGTTGCAACTTTAAATGCGCTTACTCTAATTTTCGGTAGTAATAATCGTACCATCAGAGAGACTGTGCGTGCTACAGTGGATCAATTCACCAGTGAATGTTGCTATGTCAGTGGGACAATGCACAGGTCGAAGTACCGTAAGTGCTGTGGTAATATCGCAGCTTACGGCTTACTTCTTCAGTTCATAATGAGTCAATCTGTCAATCGTCGTTCACAAATCCTTCAAAACACATTGTGGCGAATTTTGCGGAATGATCTTTGCTTATACCCTAACAACATCAAATTAACTTAAGAACTGAATGAAGCCTTTTGATCATTTGAAATGCCGAAACTTATCAGATTGGGCTCTGATAAGTTCAACAATGAACCTCATTCTTGGCTTAATGGCTTTGTCAATAAAGCAACAAATCGACATACACTTCAGACTCCATCACAACCAACAAAAGTGAGCGTATGATGTGGGTTTTATGCCGTAGGTGTAATTGGACCATATTTTTTCGTTGATAAACATGCTTGCCATGTTTGGCCAGAGTTGGATGAGCTTTACATCAGTGATATGTGGTTCTGACAAGATGGTGCCACATGCCTCCCCGTTGGTCAAACAATTTATCTATTTAAGAGATGGTATGCCGCGTCGTTAGATTTTTTGTATGGGATTACGCTATGTTGTTGATTTATGCCAACAAACCAATGAAGAAATTGCCAATGTTCCGACCGATATTACCAAAAGAGTGAACGATATTGAATCCCACATCAAAACTCGATACATAGCAATTATAGTTTAATTCAGATTAATTAGAGATGGACAACTTTAGAAATTATCACTAAACCTAGAACAAATAAATTATATACAAACTGAAAGATATTAAGTGCCTGAAGTTCTATATGAATACAAATGATTTTAAACATCCTTAATTTGTCCTAAAACCTTATATCTTTCGGTATTATCTTACATTTCCACACATCTTCCGAATACATGGATTTTGTTAATGTTAAGATTGGGTCTGAGCTTGCATATTATGAAAATTTTCTGATCATTACTTAACGCGCTGTTCTGTCTTTTGCTAATTTGATGACATCGAAAAGATGTAATGAACTTGAAATTTTGATTGCTTAATCATAATTTTAGTCTTGGTGGACTATTGCGACGCTATTAACAATTTTAATCATTGGGTTGTGTGACATCTTGCATAGCAGATTATTGTAGAATTTTTAAGTGGATTACCGATAACTTCTAAATATAGATTGTAATTATTCAAGACGTTGACCTAGTACCATAACATATTCCTCGTTGAGGCTGATCTTGCTATTAGTGTAAGACTAACATTCTTACATTTAATCACATTGATATGTCAATCATTGATTGTGATAACTATGATTTCATTTTTTATTATGTATTATGTACACCTGTTGAAAATATAGAAGTTAATCTAAGTCAGTAACTCCCAAACTTATACGATTCACCGCCGCAGTGTAAGACAGAAAATTACTTGAGGCCCATTAATTTTAGCGTGCAGAAAATATACAATGTTCTAGAATTTGGTGTCCAATACCGTGGCATTATCTCACTGTAAGGTATAATCAACTAAAAATATTTAAATTTCAACTCTTATGATTCAATACTGAATATGATTAAACGAAATATGCCAAAATTTCACGTTAAATATCCTCAAAGCACCAAAGAAGTTTAAAGTTTAACACAAGAAGTTTGTAAACTATTGGAGGTAAAGTTACCATTTTAACCAATGTATAACAAAGTTTAAGTCAATAAAAGCTTTACACTGTCTAACTAAACTAAATTAACTCTAAGATCTATTCAAACAGTTCCACACACACCCGCTATAGGATATGTTAACCAGTTGTGGATGGATATAGTTTAATTACAGTTCCTTAGAAGCAAGCGATCTCGGCCAAATCAGGCGAAATCAAACATTCTCCACCTTAAGTTTAGGAGAGATCGTTTGCGACCGAGGTAAATTGATTGGTCGCAAATAATTTCGACTTAGTCGGGAAATCATCTCTGTACTGAATCTAATCGAGGTAGCTCGTGGCGGAAGCGCTGCAGTATGTGTTAACAGTATAGTTTTAGGTGGATTCGAACTCGGCTTAGGGAGTCGAAGCAATCTAATTTTGTCTAAATGGAACAACTTATAACTGTAGCCGCCATCTACTTTAATTTCTATTATCCGCGGCTGATGTGATTGAATGACCTTGTTCAGTATATCACGACTCAGATCATTAAAAGTTTCGGACAGAATTAATATCGACGGAGTCCATTGATATTTGAAGCTGCAGTTTAGTAGTGAATACAGAATACCGACCGCCTGCATCTTTTACTAATTTGTATTCAAGTACAGGCAGAAACTATTCCATTTTTCATCTAATTCATTTTTAAAAATGATAATACGTATGATTACTAAATAAGTACTAAAACTTGAAATGACCTGTTCAAACATTTCGACAACATAAAAATATTAGTTTTATTGCAAGTGACTTGATGGAATATAAGATTGCAGTTAAATTTCGAAGTAACGCTAAGCTTCAAGAAATATAGAAATCGGGCACCTATTTTAAGACAGAGGAAGTATTATATTTGTAAAAATGTGTCTGATAGTCTACATGAAGTGTTTCGTGTGTACCCTACATCATTCTTAATCATTCACCTTTGCGTATACTAGGTGGGGCAAAAGTAATGTCATAATGCGAATTTTGTTACAAACAAAAAAATAGAGCTCTGATTCCACGAAAAGTTTATTTGAAGGTTTAAAATTGATTACAATTAATTTGAAAAAAATATACCGATCAAATAACACCCTCCTGAGTTGCTTGTTTTGAACTGTTAGTGTTCACAAAACAAATGGCTCCAAAATGGGAATTTATTTTTCACTACCTACAAGGTTTATAGTTTACAAGTCTGGCGTAGTCAAATTTAGCGATCTGGCCAGCCAAAATAAATCATTCTAGACTTCATTATTGGAAGCAACAATGCTC